TAATGAGCAATTCCTGACCTTTGACACTCATGACTTATGCGAGTAACATAGGAAGAAATGACCATTTATATTTCAGATTGAGCATTTAGAGACCTCCATCATCATGTACAGGGCCAAAGAAATTAGTTGAGTCGACTGTACCCTAGTCGTTTCACCGTCAAAGATCAGTTCGCTAATCCGTGGAAACTGAAACACGCGGGAGTCGGTATAATTTTCGAGGGACAAGAGCACGGTGGGGTTGTTATGGTGTGACTGTGCGACTCTGTAATTCATTCCCACAATCGCTAATAAATACACCTTTGAGCAGCCGCGATAACTGTATTCTATATTCGCTAGCTGACCTGCTGGTTGACCAGGCCAGGCTAAAGAGTCAGCAGGTGCTGTGGTTGAAACCCCGGATCTGACAAGATAGGTGGCCACGCAACAATCGTGAGAGGTGTCCCAGGCGAAGCTGACTGGAAACTAGTTCAAAGTCATCCAAGCAGCGTAACTAACCGATTTCATTCTCTAAAATCATCCGACATATGTAGAGATTACACAGATGTTCGAATAAAGTTAATGCAGCATTGGACGGGTAGTGCCACTCGTTTGGTCATTTGAAGCTCCATTCAGGATTCGTCAGCTAAATTTAACTGTCCCTCCCAAAATAACTCAGAACAAAAGCACCAAACTGATGAGACATTAAATGATGGAGCCCACTTCTGTGAGCCTTTCAATAGAAAATCTAATCACAAAATCAACTTTAAAATTTTGGTCGTCATAGTAGGGATTGTTAAGGACAGTAGGTTGTAGACCCCTTTGGCTGTAAATGTTGGGTCGAATTTTGCGGTAGGAAATTGCATCGGTCCACAAATGGATACGAGAAACGAATGTGCGCGTGTTTTTACTTTAAGATTACATCCTCGAAAGCAGTTGGCCTTGGATCGTAGTGTATGTAACAACTTAACAACTTAGTCACCAGGTAAGACGTGCAGTGACTGCATGAAATCAAGCCTTAACCAGTGATATAGATAGGACCTAATATATGAACTGCATCACCGTTAAAACTTATGTGAGGCCTTTTGGAAAACCCGTAGTAATCTACTATAACACACAGGCTGTGCTCCACGACCCGATGCAGCTTCTATATTAGAATCTGCAGCTTCATTTTATCATGGATTTCCACCGCTTTAAGGAATAGTGCGTAGGCCCCCTTAATTTGGTCTGACTTTTAGGAGCTGGACGTCACACTGGCCTTTGGTTAACACCACTGCTGACGAGAAGTTGGCGAACGCCACGAATTTGAATGTTCCCACTTCATACATCCTCCCATAGGGAGTAGTCATATGTGCTTATTGCACCCCAGGTTAAAACTTGACTTTCGAACGATTATAGTGCATTTCTTGGAGGTGAGGGAAAATCCTAAGGAATTACTTTTTACTTTTGAGCCTACAGCAGTAAGTCACTTGATATATTATAGATTGCTATTTTAGCTGAAAACCCAGACTGGAGGAAAATATTATGCGAAAAATTACTCTGAGGATTCTGTACATTGCGCAAGCATATGCAAATGGCTTTACAAGACTATAATTTACCGGTAGCCTGACGCACATATATAGTTCATGCTTCATTTCATGCGTGGTTAAATCATGAAGATAATTCACCAGTGAATATCAAAATTGGAGTTTCTGGAGTTCAGCCGATCAGTGGTGAGAATTGTCCCACTTAAATTATGTACCTATTCAGACGAAACATTGCTGACAATTGAGGACGACAATCGTCTAATAGACGCCACCTTTAACTCCAAAATGTCTTAAATCAGTCTCCTCAATAAACCTGGCATCGAAGACAATTATTATAACAATTCTTTTATTTCATCGAAAGGTCTGAAAGTACTCGAAGGAAATGGGGTGCACGAAGTGAACACTTTCTTTGATGTAATTTTATGATAAGAGCTGGCTGCTAGCCAAATTGGCAGACGTTAATTTACGTCAAGGTTTATGTCCCAAATGTTGGTCATGATAAAAATAGGAACAAAGACTTTGCGTAGGGATACAATTAGCATTTGATGATCTGCCATTCAGGAAACAGCCACAAAGAGATATAAGGTTAACTTTCTGTGAGAAACAACCAATCTGAAGACTGTGTTTTCCTACAAAAAATAATCTATAATAGTGTACGTGAAAATCTATAAATATGTGTTGATTTCTTTAATAAACGATACGCTGCCTGGCCCTTATCTCCTCTTGTTACTATTTCACTTGTGTCACAGGAACTCTAAACGGGACTCAAGGGGCAAAGCAGCGAACATTTTTTTGTTTTGATTACACCTTGATTCCACACAGTACTGTTGGTGCAAGTATGGAATTTTCAGCATGTGATACCGGTGGCCCAAATTTAGCAGGCCGACGATTGATATCAGGTGTGCGTCGACAGGGGATTGAAACCCGGACAATGTGTATGGTCGGTGGGAGTCCTAACCGCTGTGCCACCGACGCATATACTGAGCGCCCCGGATGGGCCCAAACCTCCAATACATGAAGGATTACCATTGTCAGCTAACTCTCAGAAACTGCCAATGTCCAGTTCTTACTACGCTGGACCTCATGCTGTCCCTGGAAGACTTTCAGAAACACTTTGTAATAACCAACGCGAAAAAAGCAGAACACAGATTGGCGACTCAAGAATCCTTTGTTCTTACGCCTATATGTAACCAAAAATAAGGTTATTACACACAAGGTTTCTGATAGTTTTTTATCTTCCAATGAACAGCGAACGATGAGACGATGACTGCTGACTAGATGACTCTCGCGAAAAGTATGGAGGAGTTGGGTTTGAGCAAACAACAAACATTTATGTGTATGTATCAATTTACATGTTCCAGTGGTTTTAAGCACATAGGATGTACCAGTAGGACATTATTAAGAAAGTGTTCAAGAACGTCTTCCAATATACAGAGCAACTAATAGCTCACACTTTTTCCGGTAATAATGCATCAATAGGACATTCCCCTAGTATGATGTACAAGGTAAGTTAGATTCGCTTGGATGGATTCCACCGACCTCTTTGTACAGCTGAAGCCCCCGTTATACTATTTCAGTGAACTGTGTATATAAAGACATCTTGTCCGATCTAGATCATTACTATGGACTCAAATTTGTAATTGTTTAGCCTGCTGTATCATGATCTTGCATGCAGTCTACTTTCATTTTGCTTAGCTTCAACGAGACCTTGGCAAAAAGCTATATACTCCGAATATCTTCCTTCGATGAATCATATTCCTCTTCCCGACTGTATATTCCTTGTAGTGACCATCTCTGTACGCTGTTCATTACTCAATGCTTCAGATCATATGTGATTAGTTAACTGAGTTTCATCATTTACCACTACTCTTTCATGACGAACATTTTAGTATGTTATGTTACCAAGCAAAATTAACCTCCAACATTTATTGACACTTTCGATAGTCTCTAATCCCACAGCTATGAAAAGGATTCCTTTTGTAAACGTATGTCTTTTTAATTTTTTTAAGTCACACGAATATTCTTCATACAATAGAAAGTATGAAAAAATATCAAAAGATGATTGATGCATCAGCCTACTACTCAATTTTTAACGTCTTTTTACAAAGCCTGTGGTCGCTCACAAAGGGAGTTATTTAAATGGTTTAATTGTGAATGCCTCTCACACAAATACTCCAGATAAATAACAATAAACAACTCACATAAGCCAAAAAGCAGTGTCCCTCCACATTTATTAAATTCGTGCACTACAAGTGTTCTGATCTTTTAGAAACTGACTTTTCTTCCAAAATGATTACTCAAATTATCGAACAACGGCCTTTATTATTGAGAGAATACCAGTGTAGTTAATGAACCTTTACTTCCGAAAGCACGGCAAAGGGATAGAGAAATGGGAATGCCCATTAAAACAAACGGGAGGAAATTCACCATTCAGTGGATAAAGAAAGCCTAACAAATCATAAAGAAGACAATTATTTTACTTGCTGATCATTCCATCCTTCTGAGCTCCTTAACCACTTACATCATCCGAGTGGCCATTTAATACTGCGTTTCGAAGGCGCATTCAGTACGACATACATATGTTCATGTTCTACGAGTGTATTCCATTACTTGGGACTATAACAGTTGCCACTCGTGGAATCATCAACCCCAGGTCCTATGACACTTTTTTATCGACTAGAACTAAAGGATTTTTCGCCTCAAGTAAAACAGCTAAATGAAAGCCCGACGTTTTACTTTCCTATCCAAAGCTATTTGTTTTTGTTTTTTTCAATTCAATAATGCAGCAGCAGTTTTACATCCTTCGAAATTCCTGGGAAGTTAAAATAATCCTTGTCTTTAATAATGATCAAGTCTAACCAACACATGAGTACTATAGATCATTTAGAGGCTGATGCTTGCTACTCATCTGAAATCCCCAGTTCTGCTGGTGATTTTACACTTCAATGGAAAGACAAAGATGAAAAGTTATTGGATATGACCTAATATGGATCCGACTGACAATGTGGCTTGCAGTACAAATGAATTATTGGTAATTTATAAATCCACTGCAGACCGACAAAAAAAATTCAGTGGTATTAAGCCTTTCATCCAGCTGTGTGATCCATCACAAGATGTTTGCCCAGGATCACTTCTCAAATCTCAGAGCTTACTGGACTTTTTGGCTGCGGTGGCTGTTAAGATCATGTCCCCAGGTAACTTCTTGGTTTATGACACACCAAATAGAGAGCCTAGTGGAAAGTTTGGAACTTCAAGTCTACAGACTTGTGATATGTCACTAACAGACCGTCAGGTTTTGCATCTTTGTAGGAAATCTGCAAACAACTCATGTTCGACGCTGTTTAAGTTGAATTATGCCTAAGGATGTAGGAATTTTGTGGTGTCTGGAAAGAAATTGGCTCTTCAGCACCCTTCACCAACATTCGGTCTGCACCTTAATTAACCTCGTGACAAGGTTAGTGCCGCACATGAAAACTAAATGCTGATGTTCCTCATAGTATGTCGTCTATTGATTTACCTGATGATATATCAGGTATATCAGACGTTCTAGCACGTAGAAACAAGTATTGGTCAAGTTGGAGGTGAAGACACCGCCGTGAAAAGTGAAGTGGTGGACACAGGTATGACAACAGAAATACCCCCTTTAAATAGTGACACGAGCACCAAGAACCCGAAATTATAAACCCTCGAATCAGTTACATTCTCTTGTAGGACTTGTACAAAACTACTTTCACTCAGACGTTGCTGATAATTAAGGAAGACATAAGAACATGACAAACAGCTAGGTAAGAACTGAAACTTCTGTACGATTTGTATGGTCCTTAATCTCTATTGAATGGGAATGTCCTTCTCTGTGCTTTAGTGGATTTCCCCCACTTCACTTGCCCACCATTGGGCAAAAGCAACCGCCGTCTTGTATCAGCCATACCCACTTGTATCACTATACGCGATATCGGTCGGTGGTTTTGCGTTCATTTTAATATTATAGTGAGTTACTAAACTCTCCCTCTCTCGCTTATTATCCAACACACCAGTTCCCATGCTCAGAAGTATCAATCCAATGTGGCTCACAAGTTTATAGACGGAATGATAAACTTCCTATTTCCATAAAGACAGCACAAGGTTATAAGGTGTCTAATCAACCCAAACTCCCTATGATATGTTCCACTTCCCTGCTTGCTATCGTGACCGAGGAACACCGACTAACTGAGGTCTTTAGAAACCGTCAGTAATCCTGTTGTGATAAGCTGACTGCCAGAAACTCAGAACACTAGTCAGGTACTTAATAACAACTTGCACTTCAGTTCATCTGATTGGAAAGTCAAAGGTTTATTGCTAAACCAGCAACAAACCAATGGGATGAAGTTAAAACTTCAGAAATTCGACCGACTAGCTCGCAGTTGGTCAATATATAAGCGTTGAGAAAGCCTGTCAGCCACGTCTCGTAAACCGTCAATGCCCAGCTCTTGCTACGCTTGGACTCACACTGTTCCTTGAAGTTTCTCAGAAACGCTTAGTAATAATGGACGCAAAAACCAAAACACCGATTGGCTACTCGAGAATTCTTTATTGTAACACCAACATATAGCCAACTTTAAAACTAAGCTTTAAAACTAAGGTCTATGAACAAATATTACAATAATAAATCACAATATTACTTCTGACGGTTTTCTCCTGACTTCTTTCTGAACAGCGACCGATGAGACGATGACTGGTGTATTGATGCCTCAGGGAAAATTGGGGAAGTTGGTTTTGAGCAAACAACCTTGAATTGATCGTTCAATCTTCAACTACATTGACAATGCCTTTATATAAAGGTTGACATCATATGCATTAATACTTCTGACCGTATTGCTTTGGACCTCTGCTAACCAGGAAATATTAGGCTTCTCCGGGGTTTTTAGCTCCAAACGAAGTTAGAACCATTACGAATAATTAGGGTCTTTGTACTTCGGTTCAATGTTCACCAACATTCATGCTCACCCGGAAAAAAGCGGAACTATCATGTTATTTTAATACGACGAATGAACGCTGACTTGAGTGTTATCGGAAAACACTGTTTCAAACTATATTTATGACGTCGAGAGGGAAACGTCAATAATCTACCGTTTTATCGGCTACAGTGTAAAGAAATGTCTTATAGCCAAAGTACCTGAAAGTGGGAAGGATGTGAGCGATAGCTTCGGAGTTATCAAGAAAGCTGGGACCAACCCGAAGAGATATGAAAAATCAAAAGTCAATTCGGTAGAGAAACCCATAAAATACCCTTCAGCAACATTGTGTTTCGTAGGTGAGTGGCTTTGGTTTTTTGTACTCCGTCAGCTTGACCTCAGCTTTCTGAGCAACTCTGAAGCTACCATTCGCACCATTATTTCTGCCTGCTACTCTTACCAAAAGGCCTTTGACGGAATTAAAATACAGTGTCACCAGCCTAGTTTCATCAATTTGCTAGGTGTTTCAAGGTCATTGGTGCGTTCGCACTTAGCTGGCGCTTAAGTTCAATATCTCAAAAATTTTTAATGAAGTGCTTTGTTTACTTCTGGTAAGATTTCTAAATGTCCTGTAGAGTGTTAGCTGGGTTGATTTATCACTATAGAGGATATTATTATGACTACGACATGAATATTTGATTTGATTCGGACTTTTAGTCGTATTTTAAAATCCAATATCGTTTTTACGAGCTAGTATAAACCAATTTGATTTCTTTGTGCTCGCTTCTTGATTGTGAGGTATAGGTTCTTGATATGATAGTAATATTCAATTGTTTATTTTACATTCATTCATGATTTTATTACAAATCAACATTACTTAAGATATCATTTCTTTGTATTTAGCGAAACAAGCGAACTTTTACCCTGTTGGTTTAGAATGGTGGGTGTGCATTATAACACAAAATAATAGTTTTGTAAGTAGGTAAATCAGTGAACACAGTTTCTTCCTGAAAGCGTTCATCGAAGAAGCTATTATTACTAACTGGTAATACGTCCCAATGAATAGACAGTCCAAAAACCAATCTTGATTGTAGCCTTTTACATATTTTCGTGAAGCTTGCATCAGCCCCAACATAGTGGTTAGTGACGAAATCTCACAATGGTTTCAAAAGACTCATTAAGGAGTCATCCTTAGTGGCAGCATGGCGTCCGGTTATCTGCCGAATGACATATAGCATTCCCTGTGCGTTTAAATATACGACCAAGTTGTGGCTGTTAAATGTTAAGATCAAAAGACTGTTTTTGATTGTATATGTATGTGTTTAGTCTCCTGTTCGGTAGTACAAAGTGGTCATTATTAGGTAGGTTAGGGATATTATTGGTTAAGGGGAGAAAGTCAGTTGATGAGGTTGGGAAGCCCCATCAGTTGTGATGGCTAGGACATATGTTACGCATGCTGAACCATCGCCTTCCTCAGCAGGAAATGTTAGGTGAAGTAGAATTAGTTTGAAGATGCGTTAGGTTTAGTTGCATCATAGCGTGATACAGACTCACCAATTCTTTGACTGTTAGTTTGAGTCTCATAAAGAGGTGCAGACTGCTTGACTGGAATCCTCGAAGGGGTAACGATTAATAGTTGGATATGGCTGAGAATTATTCTTAATGGTGCAGATACATTGACTCTACATGAACTAATAAGCCTATCAGATTCTCATCGTTTTTTTCTTTAGTTATAGCCCCATGGAATTTCGACTTTTTGCTACCTCTCTGTGGCTTTTTTGAAGTGTGGGAAGTTAAACTGCTACACTCTTGTGCAAAGTTCTAACTTAAAAACTTGGTCTTTTACTTCTAATTCTGTATGCTTTCCTGAAGTATGGAAACGTGCGCTGATGTGCTCTGTGCCAAGTTTTCACGTGTATTTAAGTTTGTAGACAGGGACTTGACATCAGTGGTTTACGGTGTCTTGTGCTGTTAGATTATTTTTCCATGAGGCTGAACTGTCGTGTGTAGGAACACGTTACACACTCTTTTATCAGTGATTAAACAAGGATTGTTCTGACTCTCAGAGTTCTAACTGTGTAGCGTATTTTCGGAGTGCTATAGAGTTTTTCTTTCATCTTTTCATGGAAGAATTTACAGGCCTTTGTAGGTAACTAGTTAGATTTTCGTTTTCGTGCGTGACATCCACTCAATCACTAAATCCTGTGGCTTGAGATTGTAGGTAATATGACTGATAATGACTTGCAGTGGTACAGCTTTATTTACGTCGTATCTTCTCTTCAACTTCAGTAATAAATTTTCTGTTTGCTATACATTTTCTTCTTTTACAATCTAACATAACTGATTTTCCTTGTTTATTTTCCGATTCAAATGTGAATTTTATTCCTTCTACTAGTGAGTTTATGTGTGTCAAGAAGCTAGGGAGAGATATGTTCTGTTTTTAATACTGTGAAAGTGTCATCCACATATCCCCACCATATTTTCGGAGTAGGATTAAATGCTGTTTTAAGAGCAGTATTTCCCCAGCTGTCCATAAAGATATCTCCTACGATGGAGGATATCAGTGATCCCATTGCTACACCTTCTGTTTTTCCGTATATTTTGCCTTGGAATTTAAAGATAATAGATGTGAAGCACAACTGAATTCCTAAAATAATTTCTTCAATGGGCAGCTTTGTCCTATGAGTGAGTTCAGGATCTACAGTTAGTTCCCTTTTAACTGCTTCCAAGGCCATATTGATTGGTATATTAGTATAAAGACTAGTTATATGAAAACTAACCATTGTTTCATCATTTTCTAGTTGAATGCCATTTAGTTTATTTTTCATCTCATATGAATTAGTTAGTTAGTCTAGAGTTTGAACGATTTCTAATGGGGCATAATATTAGAGCTAAGTGTTTTCGTTGAAACTCTGGACTAACTAATTCATATGAGATGAAAAATAAACTAAATGATATAAATTTTCTTCGTCTATCTATCAAAACCAAATTCACTTCTAAGTTTAAAAAAAAACTTAAGCATTTGGTATATTATATTCATTATTGTCAACGCTTTTGTATTTCCCTATAAAAAAGCAAAAAAGATGTCTTCATTGAAGTTTCCCTAGTTAAAACTGTTAATGGCTTTATCAACATAGTAACATTAAACTAGAACTTACAAAATCTCAGATGACATATGCAGCAACCTAATCGTAGTTCTTCAGCATGCAGTAAATTTTACGTTGTCAAGTCAACTAATTGCTAAAGGTAAAAAAACCATGTTATAGACAGTTAGATTTGAGAAGCGTATGAAATTATAAAAACAGTTTGTTTTTACATGATGAAATTGCTTATCGCATTTGGGTTCTATGTTGAATCCAGACAGACAGACAGATCGCATTTGGGTTGAGGAGGGCGAGGGTTGTTGCAACCAGGTTAAATTCTGTTTTAGTCTACCATTTCTATTCAGACAATTTGGATTCCGTTTGATATGAAGTACTTCTGATGATAGTAGACGTTATTTGTGATTTCTGAAATTCATCTGTATTACTTCAATATCGTCAAAATCACTTGTGGCTTGATTCTATAGCGTGTAGACGACTTATGGCCTATGATTTTTCAAGCTTATCTAGTTCAACTGGATTTCTCGGATGCTCTATGGTGTTCATCCCTTCTCATCTTAATTTATCACGACTTTTGTTTGATGTATATTGCATCATATTCCAAGCATTTTATTTTAAATATCGGAACGTTTTTGTGTTTTTTGATCATTGGGAAGTACAAAAACATGATGAATTTTCTTCCGTTAGCACTTAACAAGACATTTGATTAAATTTTAGTCTGTTCTTTATTTTCCCCATAAACTACCTGGTATGATCGAGGGTGGGAAAACATCGTCTTCCTCTCAAAATACCCTTATGTGACCAGGCATTCACAGTCTCCGTCAGGTAGTTTTTATCTATTGCCTTCACGTGGCATGAGTGTTCCTCACAAAAGTGAAGGGGTGAATACGAACGCCTGGCGCTTACAACTAGTCTGATAAGCATACATGTCTACCTAGGGGGAGCTGAAAACCAACTGTGTTCATGGGTTTCAGAATCTGAAAGGGTCGAATGGAATATGAACGCGTTTTCATCACCGGACACCATGGGAATGCTGCTGCATCGCCTTGCAGATCAGACTTCAAGTTAAGGGTTTGGGGGGGTGGATGGGTGGAAAGTCGCCTGCTTCTGTTTAGGCGCACATGTAGTAAGTATTGTAGCCCTCGCAAAAACAATGACGTCGTGTAACGTATCCGTCGGTGACCATAATGTACCAATTTCGCGTTTTAAGGATATCTTTCTTCCTACTATCCCTTACTTGAGTTCATGTTGTTCGAATTATGAACGCCTTAGGCAGCAGTCTCCGAATGTTTGGCATGCGATTCGCTCCCATCAAATGTAAGGTAATGCTACAGAACTGGACTACATTGACTCCTAGCTTACAGATAGGAAGTAATATGGTAGAGCGTATTGACCACTTCACTTATCTGGGAAGTTGCATCAGCCGGCCCCAATGGGTTGATCGCTGACGAAAAATTGGCACGGTTACAGAAGGCTCGTTTCGCATTTGCATGTTTACACCGTCTCTGGTGTAGATGTGTTATCCCGTTATCGATCAAAAGGCGTGTGTACTGCTCAACAGACCGCTCCGTCCTCCTTTATGGCTGACTGTAAGACCTCGCCATTGATAGTGGAAGACATGAAAAGGCTGGCTAGCTATATTTGATCATAGGTGCCTGCGCTCTATTTCCCGTGTGAAATGGTATAAAAAGGTGAGCAATATTGAGGTTAGGCATCGGTCAAGTGCTAAGTGAGTTGGAGGGGAAATCAATAGACGAGGATGTGAAGTTACATTGACTGAGATGGTTAGGATGTGTTACGCATGCTCGCCTAGCCATCGCCTTCCTCGACAGGAAGTTTTAGCTTACTAACATAGGATAGATCAGGTTGAGAAAGAGTCAGTGGTGGTCAAATGAACACATGGCTTTATCAGTCAATGAAATTCACAGCAGTTAGTTCAAGCCAGTCACATGGGAAGGCGTAGACTTGTTGACTGGTTAGCGTCATCGGGATGGTAATAACCAGTTACAGTTGGAGACAATCGGTGATATGACTCAAAATTGTTCTCAATGCCTGGCGCAGATGTATCCACTCCTTGTGATTTATAATATCTAATAAATCTCTTGTTCTTCCATATTACTATTCTTTTTCCTCACTCGCACTTATCTCTCTTTATCTAACCTCTTCTCTTGCTTTGTGTGCTAAATGGGGGAAGTGTGGCAACTCGAACTGCTGCATATCCGTGCAAAATTCTACTTTGAAACCAGTCTGTCAGTCATGTTCGAATCAGCCTTTTTCACAGTGAAATAATTTCTGTCCATATAGTTTCCAATTCTTTTTTAACCTTTACTTTCTGGAACGAAATATATGCATTTAGCAAGTAATTTATTCCAGTACAGAAAAAAGCCCCATACGCTTTATTAATATGTTATTTTTGGCCTGAATTTATCATAGTTTCGTAAATGTCTCAACGTGGATTTCATGTGATAGGCGAATCATTTGAAATCGAAGGGGTACTGAATAGTTGTGTTTCTTCCTAGTCTTACACTAAGGAATTGAACTCAGGACCTTCAGGTTTTACGGTGAGCCTGTCCTGCTTCCGATCTCTGGTGTGGTCTTGAGTGCACACTTCCGAAAAGTTCATTAACTAGCACGAAACAGTTGTTTAGTACCCCATGTTTTTCAACTATTTTCTAACAAGTATCTGTTGGGGATGAGTTCTACACTGAAATTAATTGAAATTCTTACAGAACTCTAAAAATCTAAATAACTATTTACTATTTTCGAGAGGTGTTTTATATGGATAATTTCTAGGAACAGATTTTTTGTTGTACTAAGCGGTTAAGAACCAGACTTATCGTGCGAGGTTTGATAATACTACCCAATTGCTTAGGCCTGAAGTAGGTGGAGTGGGACTCGAACCCGTGGACCATCAGCTCGCTGGAAACCAAGTGCTTAAGCCAATGAATTACATCTCCATGCAGCAGTGAGGTAGTAGTGTGGTGAGAACTAGTTGCAAGCCAAAATTTGTAGAAAACAATTTCTGTCTCTGTCTCTGTCTGGATTCAACATAGAACTTGGCACCGAAGTGCAGCAGTTCGAGTTGCCACGTTCCAAATAGCACACAGAGGTAGACAAGAAGATGAGTGGAGAGAATCAATAGAGTTTGACAAATATAAGAGTGAAACAGAATGGGTAATGGTAGAAAGGAATATGAAAGATTACAGAGACTGCATACTATATCTGCGCTAGCCACTGACAACGATTTTGAGCCATGTCACCTATTGTCTCCAGCCATTGATTCCTAGAGTCCCGAGGCCCCCAACCGGGGAGTCTGCATCTCCCTACCTGACTCAGTTTAACTGTCAAGGATTTCATGGATTGATGCCATGTTTTTGTTTGGCCACCACTGACTCTTTTCCAACCTTCACCTATATCAGCTAGCATTGCCCGTCGGGGGAGGCGGTGGTTAGGCATGCGCAGCACGTGACCTAGCCATCTTAGTCTATGTAACTTTATAGCCTCGTCGATTGATTTTCCCTCTTTGCCCAACACTCTATGCCTAACGTCAACATTACATACCTTATTAAACCACCTAACGTGAGACAGAGATCGCTCTGAAACATGGCCAATACGCGTTGAAGACATGAAAAGGTTAACTGCTTTCGATCATAGATGTCTGCGATCTCTGTCTCACGTTAGGTGGTTTAATAAGGTATGTAATGTTGACGTTAGGCATAGAGTGTTGGGCAAAGAGGGAAAATCAATCGACGAGGCTATAAAGTTACATAGACTAAGATGGCTAGGTCACGTGCTGCGCATGCCTAACCACCGCCTCCCCCGACGGGCAATGCTAGCTGATATAGGTGAAGGTTGGAAAAGAGTCAGTGGTGGCCAAACAAAAACATGGCATCAATCCATGAAATCCTTGACAGTTAAACTGAGTCAGGTAGGGAGATGCAGACTCCCCGGTTGGGGGCCTCGGGACTCTAGGAATCAATGGCTGGAGACAATAGGTGACATGGCTCAAAATCGTTGTCAGTGGCTAGCGCAGATATAGTATGCAGTCTCTGTAATCTTTCATATTCCTTTCTACCATTACCCATTCTGTTTCACTCTTATATTTGTCAAACTCTATTGATTCTCTCCACTCATCTTCTTGTCTACCTCTGTGTGCTATTTGGAACGTGGCAACTCGAACTGCTGCACTTCGGTGCCAAGTTCTATGTTGAATCCAGACAGACAGACAGAGATCGCAGACATCTATGATCAAAAACAACAGTCAACCTTTTCATGTCTTCAACTCGTATTGGCCATGTTTCAGAGCCATAGAGAAGGACGGAGCGAACTTCTGAGCAGTACACACGTCCCTTGGTTGATAACCGGATGTCACGCCTACGCCAGAGATGGTGTAAGTCAGCGAAAGCAGCTCGAGCTTTTCGGATCCGTGCTGAGATTTCATCGCCAATCAGTCCGTTGGTGCTAATACAACTTCCCAAATAGGTGAAGTGGTCAACATGTTCTATCACTTCACTCCCTATCACTAAGTTAGGAGTTGACGTGGTCCAGTCCTGTAGCAGCATCTTACATTTTGTAGGGGCGAATCGCATGCCAAACATACGGAGATTGCTGCTCAAGGTGTTCAGAAGACTACCGGATTTTGTCAGCATCCTCCCCTAACAGGACTATGTCATCTGCATATTCTAAGTCCATTAGACTACTCCCTGGTAACAAGTCGATTCCAATTTACGTCAATGTTTACATCCCGAATCGGGGTCATGAGTAAAATCAAGGACAAAGTCTAATCTTGAGGAACTCAACACCCAACCACAGCGAACTAAACGTGTGCAAGTACAATTCCTAGATATATGACTTCATTTTCTGAGAAACGGTCACAAGCAGTACAGAATAACCTTCAACAAGAAAACAACCAATCAAAAGACATTGCTTCTCTGCTAACAATAACGCTAATAATAATGTACACAAAAATCTCTTGATTCTCTCAATAAGTGATCTGTTGCCTGGCCCTTGTCTGCTGTCATTTCATTTAGTGTCGCTGCCTGCCGACAAATAGAAAACCTATACCCTTTAGTGTTTGAAGGAGACATATAGATCTTTTGGTAGGACTTTGAGGCTGTTGCACAGCTGGGTGGCGTTCAAGATCTGTCAGCGATCAAGCTGTTACTTGGAACTCTGCTGGGAGATTGGGCAAAGGCGGCATATGAAAGTGTTAGGCGAAACACCGATGAATACGTACCAGCGTCAGGCAAACAGCTTCCAAAGTCGGAAAGACCACATATGGTCTTTCACTGTGAGACAATGTTACGTAGATACGATCACAAATGTAAGTAAAGAGAAACAGGTGAAAGTCAACGAGCACCGGAATTCCAGGCAGCAAGACAAACGAACAAACTAATGGCTTAAATACCTTTTTGTTCTCTCACGCTTTTGTCAATCAGACCAATATACATGTGTTCCTTTCATTTTTTCTTCATTTTCTATTTTTTAGAATTTTTATCTAAATCAAAAAGTGGACAGCTAATCACACCTGAGAATAAAATCGTATATCTTTATGTATAATGATGTGTAGATCAACTATCTAAACCCTCTGTTAGCTTATTTCGAGGAGTATTGATTACAACAAATTATCTATCAACTTATTGAATATATATACAATGGAAACAGCCTTTCGTTACGGAGAAAAACCTATTGAATTTCAGCTGGAACCTGATGGCGAATACTTCTATTTGGCATCTGAGGTAAGTTACACCGGTTTACCTTCGAAACAGCCTTTTGTGGAATGGTTCATTAAAAGCTCGTATTTTCATGTACAGCTAACTAGCTAGCTTTTGGTTACACAATCTGTAGAGTCTAGGACGTCTTGAGTATTTCTTTCAGGTCAGGTAGAGATTTGGTAAAGATATATACTAGTTCTTATTGTGTTTAAACTACGTACTTGAAGACACGTGTAATCATTCGAAGAGATCCAGAGTTTACTATTTACTTAGTATTATTCCCTTCAACAGTACATTTCGACTTCATCCTGTTTTCTGTAGTCCTCTTTTTAACTGGCTCCATGACTCACCGTAGACTGTCATATCCTCTTCACATAACCTCCTCCTCCAAGTCACCCTCCTAGTAGTACCCGATCCATCGTTTCCCATTTGGGTTCCACTCAAAGGTCTGGCTCACGATATCAACGGTCTCCTCAACATGTGTCTAATCCATCACCATTTCCAAGGCGTACTAAACTTGAAATCAACCAAATTCCTTGTGAGCAACTCTTGAAAGCTAGTCTACTGCTTGTTAGTGACTGACTGTAGGATGAAATTCCTGAAATTCTAATGACATTTCGTGACTAGTGCGGTGTAATGACGCTTACGCGCCGATGACGTCGGTCTGTAGTGGTTACGTTGTATATCGCAAGTTGGCGGCAGAAGTTAAAATTCATGGATCATTGAATCCTGTTCCAGTGACTGAAATGGTTAGCGGGCTTGCCACACGTTATTTGAAGCTGGCTTCTTGGTTCTATTCCTTGTGAATGGGGTTTCTATCCACTAAAGATGAAACAGCTGTCCAATAATCCTTGGTTTTCAAGAGTTCGCTAACTGCCCAGTTCATGATCTAGTTTGAAACCAGACAGATCTTTGCAAAACAACACATGTGAAAGTTCATTTATGATTATCCATATGTGAAGCGTGTAATGAAATGTCGTAGAACATGTCGGTAAATATCTCTACCATATTATATTCAGAGTGCGTTAGTGGGACAGCGATAGAATGCTTGTCAACCACGCCTCATGTGATCCGAGGTTCGATTCCCGCCCGGCCGACGCACTCCTTAACCTTGCTAAGCCAGTAGTAATAAGACTGGTAAGAAGGGAAGGTTGGACGCGAGGCGTCTAGCAACCCATCTATCCCGTAAAATTAATTAAACACCACTGCTGCCGGAACTCCAAAGCTCTAGCTTGAAGGTGCCCTATATTCCAGCTGGGAACGTAAAGGAATAAAAAAAAAGTCATTTATATTCAAAATGTTATATAAAATACCCTCATGAGTATCAGCACTTTCATTCGTGTATAAAATCATTAAAAAAAAGAGGAAACATGAAAACAATGTTTCTTAATTATCACAAAAGTTATGATGATGATGATGTTTACCTTATTTCCGCTGTGTTTTGTGTTTTAAGGTGGGCCGATATCTTCGATTATTCCGTAAAGAATTATTCAAGAAGTATCCAAATTTATGGAAACGTTTAGTTACACCGGAAGAAAAAGGAAAGTTAATTCAAATGGGTATGTACCTTTTTAAAGTTTTTTTGCTTTTTTCTTACAAATTAGCAAAAGCATTCATTCAGACATCTTTAAAACAAAAATAATCGAGCAAAGAAGAATATCCGCCTTTCGATAAATTCCTCCTCTTCTGGCTCTACAATTAGATATATCTATATGTTTATACACATAGAATATTCTAGAATAGTAGTCAATAACAATATTAGTGTGTTTTTAAATAATATCGATTTGTTTAGTAAGATCACATTGGAATTGCCACAGTTCATTAAAGATGCATAAATTATAATAAAAATAATAAAGATATAGTAGCATATAGAATATAAACTAAAATTAGGAAAATTCCACAAAAATTCATGATCATTCAAACCTAGATGGCCAATGGGGTAAGGATAATGTCTGAACTAACTTCTTTTGGATACACAAATTAGGCTTGTTAATATGGATCCCGACAGCCAGCCTTAGCAATATTTAGTAGTCAAACTCTTAAGGGAAAATTGAGATTCGTAGGTATGCGGTATGCCTCTTTCATGTGTATGTACCAATTTAACTGCTCCTGTGAAGTGAGCCAGTCAGTTGCATAGACCGTACAATTAGGCGTGTTTCTTGTCAAATTTTCGAACATCACCCTGTACGGTTGGTTAAGTAAAGGACAAAAAAAAATCTATTCGCATAGCGCTATTCTATCTCATCTTGTGGATACAGAACACAAGATTGACGTTGTTACGGAGGTGACTGAGTCTTAGAACGATGAGTGATGCTTGAATCTTGAAAAGACGAATGAACCAAGAATTTAGGCTTTATTCATTTTACAATGAAGCCGGAATGGCTTAAACGTATAAAGGGAAAAAAGAGTGTTAATAGCGGTAGAGATATGAATATGATTAGATACGTATTATAAGAAAAGTTCACAACAGGCGTTAACCAGGCTTTCAGAGTCATTTACGCATACCAGCCAACAAATCTCAATTTCGCCTTAAGAGTTCGACTACTAAATATTGCTGAGGCTGGCTGTTGGGATCCACATCGAGAAGCCTAATTTATGTATCCAAAAGAAGGTGTTGATTCAGACATTGTCATTACCTTGGCCATCTAGGTTTGAATGATCCTCAATTTGTTGTGGAATTTTCCTAATTTTAGTTGATATTGTATATGCTACTATATCTTTATTATTATTATTATTATTACTATTATTATTATTATTTAAGCATCTTTAATGAACTGTAATTCCATCGTGATCTTACTTTAAAAATCAAAATTATTTAAAAACACACTAATATTGTTATTGACTACTATTCTAGAATATTCTGTATATATATATATATATATATATATATATATAAGTGTAGAGCCAGAAGAGCAAATTATGGGAAAGGATATTCTTTGCTCAATTATTTTTTTTTTCAAAAATCACTTTTAAATACTTTAAAGTTATGATATTCGACTGACTAACTAATTAATTACTGTTTTCAAGTGTTAATTTGCAGGAATCTAATTGACTTCAGGTTTTGATCACGAACTAAACCTCAGTTCGAAACGCACTTGAAACTAGGGTGAACTTGGAGACAATAGGTGACATGGCTCAAAATCGTTGTCAATGGCTAGCGCAGATATAGTATGCAGTCTCTGTAATCTTTCGTATTCCTTTCTACCATTACCCATTCTGTTTCGCTCTTATACCTATCAAACTCTATTGATTCTCCTCACTCATCTTCTTGTCTACCTTTGTGTGCTATTTGACACGTGGCAACTCGAACTGCTGCACCTCAGTGCCAAGTTCTATGTTGAATCCAGACAGACAGACTGGGAGTACTAGACAGCCGTTTAGTCCTTGCTTAAGACTCTTATCTAGTATTCACCCATGACTTCACACTCTCTAGGAATAGAACCCGTGGGACCTTCTGGTTACGAGGCGACCATTTTTTATTATTTCATGGGGGCGTACTGTCAAAGAGTCCTAAGCAACGGCGAAACAACTGTTCAGTATTCCCTGATGGTCCTCTAACTGAAATCAGCCTTAGTAAAGTGCCTCTTTAGTAGAAACCACCAACGAAGGTGCACCGAGGAACAAAGAAAGTTGACTAAAACTCTGGTTGATAATAATTATCCAAACAACACCAAGACACACTGTCCAACTCACCGCTAAGAAAGACGTGTATATCAAGCTACCCTATATAGGTGATCATAGCAGCTTGGCAATTCAACAAAGGCTGAACAGTGCTGTTAAAAAAAACTTTTTATGCAGCTAATATCCTAATTATTTGGAATCTGAAGCTGATGTATCCATCTAGCCCCTTAGAACATGCGAAAAATGATGTCGCATCTCGCTGTATTTACCAATTTAAATGTATGTGTGGCCACACCCACATATGGAGGACTCATCAATCTCTGCAAGTAACGGCTGGCTTCAGAACATATTCCTAAATGGCTTCAGAAGGAAATAGAATCCCCAGAAGCCATTAATGGTGAGAATAGGAGATCTAATTCCTCTATTGTGTTACCTATTATATAGAGAGAACATAAAACTGATGTTCACACACACTTTTTAAACCTATCTATAAAACGTGTTTGGGGGAGGGTGTATCCTAAAGTTTGTGGAAGCCCTAGCTGGCAATTAGAAAGTTTAAACTAGTTCTATGCGTTCAAAACAACAATTCGTCATCACACTAAACCACCTTCTTTGGTAAACTTTGTTTTAATACCAGGGCAGATGTGCTGTTACTTTCCTGTTTTGGTTTAGTAATCGTCATTGTTATTTTCACCTTCAACATGTCCTTTCAACTTGACCTAAGTAGTCTATTTTCTCACCCCTCAACCTATAGTAGCCATAGCAGAGTTATCACTACAAATAAAAATAAAAACATTAACAGTTATCCGATGTCACCGGGATAGATAACTATCCTAGGTTTAGTTTGAAGGACATGAAAGGGAGACGGATTGAACAAACCTCTTCTGTACATAGAGATTGTTTTGGAAGATTTTCATGGCAGTCGAAGTTGTACAAACTTAGGAAATTAAAGTGGCATCTTGTAAAAGAATTGTTAAGGTCGAATCTCTGTCAATCTTGTGTCCTGTATCTACAAGGTGTCGCAATATGGAATTCCTCCTTTACTTAACCACGGCGGAAAATACTCAAGAAGGCAGCGGTGGGCTTTCCGAGTAGGTCTACTTACGTAACTGTCTCCTCCACAAGAACAATTAAATGTATAAATGCACATTGATGAGGTGGTGGTCAGACTGGGTAGCTTATCCTTCACCTGCACTGGAATTATACAACAAGTGGTGAATTTTAAGCATAGTGTTGCAGGGCAAAGGATGTTTTAGCTATTATTTTTCAGAGTTTCTATGCCAGTAATTCAGTAGCTGCAGTATAGCCATACACGTATGTTTCTTCTGCACCCCCGACAGATAGCTGCTACTTTGACGTGGTGGTCGGGATTGCACATCGCGATGACCCAACAAGCTACACTGGCTGGAACCAATATTCCTGCAGGTCCTACCTACCATGCCAGGAAGGTTGTTAGGATAGCGATTAGACTAAAAGCAGTTATCGGCATCGTGTAAGAATCTTTTTTATACTATGCTGGGGGTCTGAGGGCGAAGTCGTACTTCTGGGAAACAGGGGTGTAGCAGCAGTGAGGTGTTTCCTTCAGATGACCAACATGCCAGCCAGCTATGCTGTTTTTCCACTCTGTAGAGAGGGGGTTAGAAAAGGTCGACCCCAAAAATTGTACATCTCGACTTACCCAACCTACAGTGGGCCGTAACAGGCGGTAAGTTTACTAATACGCAACCAATCCCAGAAACCAATTCATACAAGCCGTGTGTGACCGACCTCAAGCAATTGTCTCCTGGGCTCTGTGGTCACGCAACACTCTTTATGTTTCAGGTATCCGAAGAATCAATCAACTTCCATGGTGTGGGCAGCCGGGAAGTAACAACCGCCCACACACTTCCGAAAGCTTCTTCTGCACAGCTTGTGTGTATTTCCCTCTGTCTATTCCAAACATAGAGATTACCACATTTTTTTCTCGGTATTCGTTCTCCTTATTTCATCGTCAAGAGTGTTAGTTTGTGCAGATTATCGTGTAGCATGAAACACTAGGGTACTGATGAAATTTCGTTTGCATGCGCAAGAGAAATAAACGACGTGAAATGGGTGTATTATGAAGCCTGAGGAGAATCTACCGAAAATAGGTATTTACTTAAGTCCTGTTCTATAATTATCATAATGGGAATATTTAGATTATTGTATATATATATATATATATATATATATATATATATACTGTCTTGCATCATAACATTGTCTCTAGCTTAGACAAGGGGGCTAAATTTGTTCCCCGCACCTTCCTAGATTACACATCTGCTTTCGACTCAGTACCTAGGGACATTTTGTTAAACAATCTTGCTGAAACTCAAACTGACTGTTGGGTTGTCAAATGGCTGCATTCTTATTTCTCAGGAAGAAAGCAGTACACTGGATGTTAGGGAAAGTCGTCCGATTCATTGCGTACTGAGGCTGGTGTCCCTTAAGGCGCCGTCCTTTCTCCTTTTCTGTTTTCTTTCTTCTGGCATGAAATGCCTCACTCTGATGATGAAATGAACTTTGTTAAGTATGCAGATGATCTTACTGTTTCAATGTCTGTTAACTCCCGGCTAGAGTGTACTAAGATGAATAACTTTCTATCAAGAGTTAGCAGATCGTCTTAAACTGAATCCTTCCAAATATCAGACTGTCAGTTTCAGTTTCCAATGTCAAAGAAAGTTAAATGAAGCTGTTGATTTCTATGACCGTTGCAAAATTGATGATAGTGATATAGAAATCAAGTCTGAAGTTAAGTATCTTAGAGTAATTCTTTCTACTGACCTATCTTGGTCTTCCCATGTCTTAGCTATTTCTAAAAAAGTATTTCGTCTGACTTTTTACATTAAGAAGTTGAGGCACTCAGGCGTAACTCAACCCCTCCTCTCACAGTTTGTCAACTTGTGCATCTTACCTATTCTTCTTTACTGTTCACCCTTATTCTTTCCTGGATTGCTTAAAAAAGACTATGTCATACTTCGTAGAACTCTGAAGACTGTCAGTCAGTAGGGCGAATGGTATCCCCCTTTGGGCCATATCGTTGACATCGTCATTATTGATAGGCATTTGATCTCACGCAACAAATTTGCTAAAGGAATTTTTCCAGACTGTGAGCATCCATTTTACTCACAGCTCGAACCTTGTGTCTCCTCAGGTAAAACAAGAAGTCTTTTCAGAAGACTTTATTCACGTACATCTAAGTACAAAAATTCCACGATAGCATATTTGCCGGCACATCTTTTATGTGATGAAAAGAGTATCAGGGACAAACGAACTAACTAACCTTCTTTGCACTACTAAATAAACCATTTCCTGCACCCTTATAACAACAACAACCTTTATTGTTATTGTATTTCTTATATTTATAATCCTCTCAATTTTTTTTCTTAAGTGTGAACATCATTTAAGCTGTGTTATAACTGTTAATTTCGCCTTTCCCCTCACCATACTATATCAACAGAACATTAAATTCAATACTCTATAGTAACATGCTAAAATTTTCAAACTGAGTCGACAGTACTGTTTGAAACAAACTCACTGATATTATTATTATTATTATATTCAATATTCTCAATTCGTGCTTCGAATATTTTTGACTTTATATCGTAAACGTGGACAAATTCCTCTGGTTGCTTTTGTTTTAATTTTATTTACACTTTAAGTAAATCAGATGCAAGGTGTTGTGACAAATGCTGAGAATTCCATCCTGTATTATAAGTACTGTTTTTGGAATAAAGTGGATTTATTATATATATATGACTTCATTTAATCATTCTACTGCTAAACGATAGATCTTTAGGTACGAACGTTTTACTGACTTGAGTGACTTTGGACAGAAGTGCAGCAGTTCAACTAACCGACCACACTTCATGTAATAGTAGACAAACGAGAGAAAAACAGGGAGATTCAAAAGACTTACAATAAAAAAGAAATTTGCAGGAGAAAGAGTAGGTATATGGAAAAAGAGAAAAAGACATGAAGATTTCAATAGACGTAGAAGAGATTACACGTAGAGTGAATGGGCATTTGCGCCATCATTAAGAACGATTTTGAGGTATATCGCTGACAACAGTCTCTAACTTTTTGGTTCTTAGCATTCCTTGTGACCTCGACCAAAGATTGTTTACACCTCCAAACGTGAATGGCTCAAAGCAACATTCAAAGACTCAGAGTGACGGCTGGCGAACCCCTTAAGACAACCACCTACTTTGATTTGGGTTTATCCGGGCTGGGAAGTATTCAAGGCTTGACAGAAACTAAGATTTTGTGTGGCGCATTTCTTGGTGCTCATAATGTGTAAGGCAAGTTTGTGTCTTAATTAAATAAACGTCCAATTATAACAAGACGTGAACAAGATGGAACACTAAAAAGAGCCATCTACTGTCACAATTGGGTACCCTTATACACAAAACGGAACCTGATTCTTTCACTGAGCCGCAGCATTTGCAGCCCTGATAACTATGGAAAAGGAGCTAAACACTGTAAAATGAATCCTCCTCAAAAATTGCTACCCAGAACGTTTTATCATAAAATCCATGAGACCTAAAACACCGAAACCGCCCACACTTTCTGCTTCCAAATAACTTCTCTACCTGAATCTATAATTCAATGGAGACTCAGTCGCAGAAATAAGGAGAAACAGCCTGTCCCTCTCACTTAAGAAAAGCTTCTTCGCCTCTGAATTCCGACTAACCTTCTCTACGAAACTAATGATTCACATGGTCTCATTAATGTGCATCTACCAATTCACATGCTTGTGTGGAGCTAGGTATGTTGCCCGTAGCCAGAGTTTGCTATGCAAACGTATCATCGAACACTTACCCATTGTCATGGCTTTATAAAGGAGAAAAAAGGTTCCCCTGAAGCTCTATTCTGGAGCATCTGATCGAATCTGGATACCAAGCAAACCCACAAAATAACTTCAAAGTCATCTGCAGAATAATTGGGAATCTTGCTAAAGGAAGGGTACAAATCAAACTTCTTCAAACCGCAGAAACAATGGCAATTCACATTTTAAAACCTGGACTCTGCGATTGTACCATCAAGTGACATCACACGCCAGGCCATTGCTCGAGTGAAACCCAAATGGAAACTGGCGAGTTGGTCGTCAGTGTGAGGAGGATGACATGGAGGAGGTCATGTGAAAATAAGATCCAGATTTTCAACTCCAATGTGAAGTCAGTGCCACTTACTATATAGATCAGAGACTTGGCGTCACGCCGCGTCACGAAGGGCACATGGAATAAACTACAGACTTTCATCAACAGGTAGCTGTCTTCGTTCAATACTATTCAAGATCAGATGGCCGGTCGGAAAAGATCAGCAACAGGGATTTCTGGGAGCGACCCAACCCGGCAGGAACCAATTGTGCGACAAATATGCAGGAGGAAATGGAGGTGAATCGGTCGTAGGCTGTAAAAACAAACCATCAAGTGAGTGACATCACACGCCAAGCCATTGCTGGAGTCTGTCTGTCTGTCTGTTTTCGACATAGAACTTTGCACAAATGTGCGGAAGTTCAAGTCGCCACACTCCGTGTAGCACGCGAAGCAAGAGAAGAAAGCACAAGAAAAGCATAATCGAAACAGTGACCAGAGGTGTGAGACAAAGGAGTAATAAAGAAAAACAAAACAGTTTCATTGGAGATCATAAGTCACAAGGAGTGGATGCATCTGCGCCACTGAGAACGATTTTGAGCCATGTCACCAATTGTTTCCAACCATAGATTTTTACCGTCCCGAGGACCCCAACCAGTCAGGAAGTCTACACCTTCCTACGTGGCTTAGACCAACTGTTGTGGATTTCATTGACTGGTGAGGCCAAGTTTTTGTTTGACCGCCGCTAGCTTTTTTCCAGCCTGACCCTATATCCGCTAACATTGCTCGTCGAGGGAGGCGATGGCTTGGCATACGTAACACATGTCCTAACCATCTCAGTCTTTGTAGCTTCACGACTTCGTCGATTGATTTCACCTGTTTACCTAGAACTCGACGCCTAACCTCAATGTTGCTCACCTTATTATGCCACTTTACACGGGAAATAGAGCGCAGTGGGAACCCAATGGAATGGGAAGCGGCGAGTTGGTCGTCAGTGTGAGGGTGACATAGAGGAGGTGATGTGAAGAGGAGATGAAAGCATGTAGGCAGACGTAGAGCCAGGTGAAGACGTTGGCAGAAGACTGAACGCAATGGAGATGTGCGGCTGAAGCCCTATGTTGCTCTGGGAATTAAAGGATACGATAATAATAATAATAATAGTAAATACGATTGTACAGCTTTAGAATGATATCGCCGAAAGTAAGAGAGTAACTCTTCGCTGAACACCTTTTCTGTTTTATTTTAACTTGCTTAAATAATAATTGTGTGTTTTTTAAAATAAAACTATAGGTCTAGCAACGCCTATCACCGCTTCAAATGCTATGCTATTACGTACTTATGAAGTTAATGAAATCATCTGTGAACAAGATCGTTTATCTGAATTAAAAAATAATCTAGTCATTAGAGATTATTCATCAGCTTCAAGTACTACTACTACTAATAATAATTCAAGTGTGAATGCTTCCACAGGTCTACGTAGTTTTTCATCAGTTGGAAGTGCTAAAGGCAGTCTTTCTTTTGGTGGTGGTAGTGCAGGTGGTGGTGGTGGTGGTCGTACAAGTCTTGGTTCTTCAAGTGGGAATCTAGGCTCAGGGAATAGTCTGTCTGGTGCTGGGAATATTACGACTACTACTACTGGAGTTATCGATCATACAATTGGTACAGGTGGTGGGGGTGGTGCTGGGGGCGGTAGCTTTAAATCAAAACGTGACAGCAGTAGATGGCTTGGTGTTAGTTCAACACCGAATACATCATTCCACTTGGACTCAGTGCCTTGTCCAACTCCTATTAGCCGGTTACGAACAGGTGAGTTAAAAATTCGTGTGGTTTTTTGTTTTGTTTTATCGTTACACTTATTTATTTATTTGCTGTGTTGTGTTGTCATTATCCCGAAAGAGAGAGAGAAGAGATTGGTTTCCACTGTGGTCAGAGCTCTTTTTGGATGCTTTTGGTGGCCAATCACTACTGCCTCAGTGTGCTTGTAGTTGTCGTCGCCTGGGTAACTGTGGGTTTATTATTGGCTCTCCAGTCCACATTCATTCCATTTGACCTCACAGATTCTTAGTACTTCTATGCCATATCTTCTTGTTTCTTTTATAATCTGAGCAACCGTTCCCAACTTCGTACGTCGTACGAATATATTCCATGTCCCCATGCGCATTTTCTTTTTCATCAAAAAAGGAAGGCACATTGGCTGGCTGATTGGCTTCCCGAAGGCTTTCCTCAGTCGGCGTGACTCCTCTACTTCCACTCCAGCAAGGAATGAGTGTATTTTTTATTACTTTTCATTTGTTTTGAAGTTCCTGTAGTGATTAGGTTGATTTTCTGGGGGGGGGGGCTTAGAGTTACTAACTCCAACCTCCCCTCTTTTTGCCGGCTTAGAACGGGCCAGCGAACTAGTAGACTAGAGTGTATTCGCTCGATCCCAAAGATCAGGTGACTGGCCAGAAAGGAAATAAGAAATTTGCGTCGGTGGCACAGTGGTTAAGACTCTCGCCGACCGTGCACATAGTCCAGGGTTCGATCCCCCTGCCGACCCACACCTGATATCTGTGGTCGGCCTGCAAAATTTGGGCTACCGATATCACATGCTGAAAATGTCATACTTGTACCAAAAATACGGTGTGGCATCAAGCTGTAATCAAAATAAAATTTAAAAAGAATAAACTACAAGGAACTCCGACAAGCGACAAAACAAGGAATGGGTTGAACACACACTGAGAAGACCATTGAGTGATATCACACGCTAGCCAGGCTCTCGAATGGAACCTGAATGGGATATGGAGAGCTGGGAGTCACTACGAGGTTGGCATGGAGGAGGTCGTGTTAAGAGAAGATGAGATCTAGTGGGCAATCGTGGAGCCTAAACTATTGCTCATAATCATATCAAGTTACTCACTCAAGTTTTGTTTCTTCATTTATATACATATGTGGAATCGATTAGACATCTGAATAAAAATCAATATGGGATAATGTACATTCGGAAATAATAATATGAGTGTTATTGATCAATTACAGTTAGATGGAAAATAAGACGGTTGTTTTTACAGTCATAATAAGTTACTTGTTCCAATGTTGTGATGTACTTGAATTGAAATAGAATTTTGAGATTATTTGTTATCCTCCCCTGATTTGACTGACTGGTGGTAATAATATCTTCCATATCTCTGGTATTTGCATTTAATCATTTCTGTTGCATGTGTTGGGTGTGGACTCGATGAACAATGCAGGATTTCGTAATCAATCTCTCTCTATTTCCACCTACATAGATTACTTCTTAGGATCTTAACCCTCTCCCACCCACATCATTGTGTGGTTGTGTGTTAATGCGTGATGTGCAATGTAGTGCTGAGTTTTTTTCTAAATTACTCATCTTCTCGGGGTCAACCATTCTTACCTTAGCTAAATTTTTATGTTCTGACAATCTGACTACCCCCGGTCTACTAGTCTGATCTATATAGTTAACCTCACAGTCATTGAAGGGTAATTGTAAATTATATTATTTTGTTTAATCAGGTCCACCGGATCTTTTAACCTACAGAGCTTGTCTCTGAGTGAGTTTGTAGGTTTGAATGCCAGCCTAAGTGGGGAGAGAGAGATTGAATGCTGAATCTTGGTTCATTGAGTCTACACCCAACACATCATCAGTAAAACTCAAACCCAGTACCAATATGTCAATATAGGCTTAGAATTTCGGCTCAATAAAAACCAATCAATGGAGAATACAAGTAACAGCCAGTACGCAACGCACAAGAGATGTCTCTTATGGTCCACTAACCTAGTGGATAACGCTGTTGTGCTTAGAAGGATAGGTTCTGAGTTTAAGTCCGGGTAGAAACGCTATCGCTCACCGAGGATGCACGAATATCCGGTTACAGAGAGTCCCTAATTATTTCTGATGCGTTCAGCTTGGAGTATAGGACTTCATCTCCACAATGTTCTTTGACTCTTTTGGATATAAAACACGCATCGAACAACCTATATATCTCGCTCGCTCCAAATGAGCAAGTAAATTGGTAGATACACGTAGAAGTGGTCAAATGCGATGGTTTATCTTTGAAGTTGTCAAAGAGCAATGAGCGGTTTGAGAATACCAATCGTAGTGTAGCAATAGGGAATGTTCTTTTCAGGGCTTTAGATATTCTTCTCGGTAAGATGTCGGCCAGAAGGTTGCCTTTGAACGCCACATTCATGTATAGCATCTTCTTTGGCACAGAGATGGGTTGTTCTTTGTTGATTTTCAGCTCTATATGTGTATCTGACATTGATACAAATATAATTTTTTAGTATACAATTGGTGGATGGTGGCTAGCAGTGGAATCCAGGATGCGCATTTCACCAGTCCTATTTGGGACTCGTCAACTGGATGTACCTGCATTTCTCAGTGAGTGATGATGTTCCCACCGAGGCTCGAACCCAGTACCCATAGTTTCAAACGCCAAAGCGTTATCCACTAGACCACTTGGGCCACGAGAGCCACCTCTTGTGCAACGGGTCATATTAATTATTGAATTGAATTTTGATTTTCCCGTCGATTGATTGGACCGAAGTGCTCGGTCTCAGGTTGACATGTCGGCTTATATATATAATTTTTTGTTTATATATATATATATATATTTTCTTGTAACACCTTTGCTGTGTTTTCTTGGACAAATTTGAGAAGATATTATAGTGAGATCTGCTGTATACCTTAGGTAATATCCGAATAATACAATGATCCGAGTTCATGATAGGAGCACGTCTGCGTACTTCATATATTTCCTCATCATTAATAAACACTAGATCCAGAGTTTTATCAAGTCGAGTAGGGAATTTAACAATATTGGCATAACCTAATGATACGAGGAAAGAACAGTCGCAGCAGTTAAAATCTCCTGTGACAACTGATCAAGAGTTTTCAAGATGTGTAACGGCGAATTCCGTGAATTCATCAGCAAAATCAGATAGATCCGAGGCAGAACAGCCAGGAGTAACATAAATGTTTGAGATGAAGACGTATTTAAACTTGGATAAGTGTTTCGGGTGGCATTTGACTGTTATACAATCAATAAAGTCATTAGAGTAAGAAAAACATACATTATTTGAAGTTGACCATTGAGGATGAATGAAAGTTGCAACACCTCCACCTCTTTTCTTTCTGGAGCATAGTCGATCTTGTCTAAACAATGTAGAAACCACTTAGGGAAACCAGATTGTCATCTTAGAGTTCATGGAGTCATGTTTCTTGTAATTTTATTTTTATTTTATTTTGATTTGCAGCTTGATTCCACACCGTATTTTTGGTACAAGTATGGAATTTTCAGCATGGATATCGGTAGCCCAAATTTTGCAGGCCGACCATAGATATCAGGTGTGCGCCGGCAGGGGATCGAACCTCGGACCATGTGCATGGTCGGCGAGAGTCCTAACCACTGTGTCACCGACGCACACTTCATATTTGAATGCAACAATCGCCGTATTGTGATAAGTATCAGATGATAAGAGAGACTGGAGATGCATAATTTTGTTGGGAAGTGAACGGCAGTTTGAAGTGACAATAACAGGAATAGTTGTACGATATAAAGGTATCTGTCTAAGTGCACGCTGCCAGCCAGCGTGATGTTTTCTCTTAGATTTATTAGATGCATGAAAGTCATATGGTTTGAAATATATGTCTATTTTTAACTCGGCGCCAGATCAAATCTTGATCCTAGTTCGTAGAAATCAATTGTTTCTCTTTTTGTTCTCTTCTACTTCTTCCTTCTAGCTAGACAAGCAAGTAAATCCTTCACTTTTCCATTCTGTTTGGATGATTCTGATCCAATAGCATTTCATGAAAATGCTTGTCAACCTGAATGTTTAGTACCAATACGATTGGATATTGAATGCGATGGTGTAAAACTACGTGATTGTTTTACATGGAATCGTAATGAACAATTGATTACACTGGAACAAATGGCTGAAGTGCTATGCGATGATTTAGACTTGAATCCAATCAATTTTGTTCCAGCTATAGTGAATGCAATGAGACAACAGGTAAAGCCTAATTTTAAGTATTCATTGCTAAGTTAAACTTGAAGCACCATTAACTACCAATCAGCGAATGACCTTCAACTAACCAATCACATGAAAGGGGCGCTTTGGTTATAGAAAACATATATTTATCAAAAATTGCCTAAAACTTTTGCGTAGAGTATCTTCCTCTGATATATGACAGAAACATCTCCCAGTTTAGCGTTACACCACATTCTGTACATACACTCATCCAAATGACTATAAATGACATCCTTTTGAGATTCATTTATAGCCCTAATATATTGGTGCATTGAAGTTATTTTAGGGCTATAAATGCATAAAACGCATCTCTATCCGGGAAGAGATCAACACAAGTGAGACCTGTAAAAGACAGCCAAGGGAACCCAATTACTTGGGAAGAAAGACAGATTAAACAATGGGTGGATCACTTCAAAGGACTCTTGAACCGACCACCACCTGCAACCCGTCCAGAAATACCAACAACAGCGCGCACACAACTGCAAGTTGACACCAATCCTCCAACGAGAGCTGAAGTCTTGAATGCAATCAAGCTTCTGAAAGCTGAAAAAGCAGCTGCACCAGATGGAATACCCCTAAAGCACTGAGAGCGGACCCAAAGACTACAGCAGATATGCTGTCTCCATTATTGCAAAAGGTCTGGAAGGAGGGAAAGGTGCCTACTGACTGGAAGAAAGGTTACCTCGTGAAACTACCAAAGATGGGTGACTTAGGACTCTGCAAGAACTGGCGAGGAATCATGCTCCTGTCGACGCCAAGTAAAATTCTGAGTCGCATCATCCTGGAGAGAATAAGGGACATACTGGATGCAGAACTCTGGCCAGAACAAGCTGGATTCAGGAGAGGCAAATCGTGTTCTGACCGAATTGCAACTCTATGCATCATCATCAAACAAAGCATGGAATGGCAATCAAACCTCTACCTCAACTTTATAGACTTTGAGAAGGCCTTTGAAACTACTCGAATACTACGGCGTACAGTGACCCAAATATTCATCAACTTTATTCAACAGCTGTACGACAACGCCACATGTCAAGTGATCTATAACGGAAAACTCAGTGAGGCGTTTAGAATAAACACAGGAGTCAGACAAGGGTGCTGCTTATTATCACCAATGATATTCCTAATTGTGGTGGACTGACTGGATTATACGTCAGATAGTGGGAAACGAGAAGACAGGGATATCCTGGACCTACCGATGTGAAGAACCTACAAGACCTGGATTTCGCGTGTGGATGATTTATGTTTGATGTCACACCAAATCAAAGACTTACAAGCGAAACCTGACCGACAAACTGGTCGTAAAAGCATGTAGTGAAGACAGGACTCCAGGTGAACAAAGACAAGACGAAGGTTATGAAAATAACCAACCAACCAACAACAGCAACATCCAGTCAGCACAGCCAATCACCATTAACGCGAGGGATTTGAAATAGGTTACTTCATTCATTCACTTGTCTAGGGAGCATTGTCTCAACTACAGGCAGTCGGAACGAACGAGGATGTCAAATCGAGCGAGAATCGGGAAGGCGAGAAAAACATTCATCAACCAACCTGAAACCAATCTGGAAATCCTCGTCACTCAACATCAACAACAAAATTCGGTCGGATTTTCAATACAAACAAAGTCAAGTCAGTCAGTTCTTCTATATGGATCAGACAGAAACTTGGCGGGCGGGTCACAAAGAATATTTCCAACAGCCTGTTGTAGACGTTACCTTTATCAACAACTGTCTTCGCTGGCTCTATACATGAAGGTCAGATGGCCGGGCCGGAAAGAATCACCAACTATTGGAAACTATGGGAACAAACAAAACAAGAACCAATCGCCAATCAACAAATATGCAGGAGAAAGTGGAGATGGATTGGACACTCGCTGAGGAGACCACTGGGTGACATTGCGCGCGTCAGGCCATCGCTCGAGTGGAACCAAGCCGAAAGGGAAGCGGCGAGTTGGTGGTCAGTGCAAGGGTGACATGGAGGAGATCGTGTAAAGAGAAGTTGAAACAGTATGGACTAACATGGATGCAGGTGAAAAGTATAGCAGAAGACAGAAACAAGTGGAGACGTCCAGTTGAAGCCCTATGTTCCACTAGGAACCCAACGGAACAACAATAATAAATAATAACAATGTAGCCCTAATCCTGTTTTTTAATCTTCCCCAGAAAGCCTTCTGTAGAGCTGGTGTGTATCCCTGTAATGGGATCCACCAAATCGTTAGAATGGTTCACATTGTGATCAATATTACTAAAGGATGATAGGGAGTTATAACCTTTCCACTCATCATTGTGTATTATAAACCCTTGTTTCACCAGTTGAGTGATAACAGGTTATAAGGTAGTTGATTTTCTGTCTGGTATTCTCTGAACGAATCCTTTTGGTAGGGAGGTGTCATATAAGCAAGTCACCTAAACATTGTTTGCTCGCTCATGACCACGGTTGTATTTAGTCTTCAATAAGACAGTTTCGTCCACGTGCACAACGATGACACCTTCTCCTCATAATAACGAAGTAATTTTCTCCACTTTCCATGACGTGATGCCTCTGCAGTGCTGGTACTACTGAACTGTTGGTACTAGAATACTTTAGGTTTCAGCAGCTGCACATCTCACCGGCTGTTTTAAAACCCAGTAATTACAAATATGCAAAATCTGGGTTAAGAACAGATGGGACCTGGCAAAAATGTTCCTATGAGATATTAGAATCATCAGCTTAACTTCCCTGACACTAACCCGTCTCAAACAAATTGCACAACGATGGACATACCCATCAGTTGACCTGCTGAAGCTTTATATACGCATGACACCTGCACATGAACAAATCCTTTCTTTTCTAATCAATCCCATAGGAGTTCCTTCAAATAGTCAGTGGGTATACCGAAGGAGATGAACATTGGTATACCCACTGACTATTTGAAGGAACTCCTATTAAGATGTACTCTAAACGTCCAATTCACTTTCAATAATGAAATATATAGACAAAAAGATGGTATAGCTATGGGCTCACCACTCGGCCCGCTGCTTGCAGATATTTTCATGTCAAAACTAGAAAATACACACCTAAAGAAGATAATAGATAACTTCGGATTCTACAAGAGATACGTGGACGATACTTTTATTATCGCCAATAATGAGGAAAATTTGGAGAACATATTGGACTTCTTCAACAGTTGCCATCCAGCAATCCAGTTCACACTAGAGAAGGAGTCCAACGCAACAATATCTTTTCTGGACGTGCAACTAGCAAGACGCGAACAAGATGGGACACTCAAAAGATCCATTCACAGAAAACCGACATGGAATGGACAACTCATCAGCTTTCACAGTTGGGTGCCTATATATACAAAACGAAATCTGATCCGCTCACTGACTCACAGAATCCACAACATTTGCAGTCCGGAAACTATAGAAGAAGAGCTGAAGACCCTGAAAAGAATCCTTCTTGAAAACGGTTACCCGGAACGTTTCATCACAAAAGCTATGAAGCCCAAAACACAAAAACCATCCATGCTTACTGCTCCCAAGAAACTTCTCTATTTGAATCTACAATTCAACGGAGATTCTTCAGCAGAAATACTGAGAAACCGCCTGTGCCGTTCACTGAAGAAAACCTTCTTCGCAGCGGAACTCAGACTAACTTTCTCTACGAAACCAATGATTCGCACGAACGTGAAGGATAAGCTTCCACTGGGGGCCTCATCAATGTGCATCTACCAATTCACCTGCTCATGTGGAGCTAGGTATGTCGGCCGTACCCAGCGTTTGCTATCCAAACGAATCAGCGAACACTTACCTTCATGGTTTTATAAAGGAGAAAGAAGATCCCCCCGCCACAGCTCTATCCTAGAACACTTGATCGAATCCGGACACCAAGCAAACCCACAAAACAACTTCTCAGTTATCTACACAATACGTGGGAATCTTGCCAAAAGAGTACGAATTAAACTTCTTCAAACTGCAGAAGCAATGGCAATTCACATATTGAATCCTGAACTCTGCATACAAAAGAAGTTTGTTCAGTCACTAAATCTACAATGGTCCTGATCTATCTTAACACCAAATACGTAATTTTGTCTTACCTCTTTCTTCTTTGTTTGTCTATTTCTTAATTGCATTATTTTCTACCCCCACCCTCTATTAAATCTCTACGCTCATGACGACTGTTGCTAACTCGATTTTCGTTTATTTTTAAGTGAATTCTACTCAGATTATTAACTTGACTCTCATTCATTTTTTCATTGAACCCTATCAATTAGATTACGTCACCCAACCTACTTTTGTAACTTTATTTTAGTTTCTAACCGATTAACGCCTTCTAAATTACGTAATTTGTTTGTTAAAAATTAACAATTGCATTAACACATCTTTGGAAATATTCCTTTTGTTGCCAAGACAAATTACTATAAATTTGCGATTTGTACAGCTTGAGAATGATATCGCCGAAAAGAGTAACTCTTTGCTGAACACCTTTTCTTTTCTATGACTGAATGGGAAGTTACATTTAACATATGATCGATAATGATCGCCACATCTATACAGCCTCTGCCTTCAGAGTCATCTACAAGGGGGAAAGTAATTTACCCAAATTACTACATACCAGACTCATCTGTATTGCTAAAACTTTGGTCAGCGAGACAGAAAAGCCAGATTTCTGTATGCAAAAAAAGTTCGTTCAGCCCCTCCAACTTTCATTTCATGGTTTTCATCCCGTTATGCTAAAGTATGGTAATCCCTAATATTTTGGCTCCACCTATTTTTTGTTTTGTCTATTCAGTTTGTATTATTCTTCCCTTGGGTTCCTAGTGGAACATAGGGCTTCAACTGGACGTCTCCACTTGTTTCTGTCTTCTGCTATACTTTTCACCTGCATCCATGTTAGTCCATACTGTTTCAACTTCTCTTTACACGATCTCCTCCATGTCACCCTTGCACTGACCACCAACTCGCCGCTTCCCTTTCGGCTTGGTTCCACTCGAGCGATGGCCTGACGCGCGCAATGTCACCCAGTGGTCTCCTCAGCGAGTGTCCAATCCATCTCCACTTTCTCCTGCATATTTGTTGATTGGCGATTGGTTCTTGTTTTGTTTGTTCCCATAGTTTCCAATAGTTGGTGATTCTTTCCGGCCCGGCCATCTGACCTTCATGTATAGAGCCAGCGAAGACAGTTGTTGATAAAGGTAACGTCTACAACAGGCTGTTGGAAATATTCTTTGTGACCCGCCCGCCAAGTTTCTGTCTGATCCATATAGAAGAACTGACTGACTTGACTTTGTTTGTATTGAAAATCCGACCGAATTTTGTTGTTGATGTTGAGTGACGAGGATTTCCAGATTGGTTTCAGGTTGGTTGATGAATGTTTTTCTCGCCTTCCCGATTCTCGCTCGATTTGACATCCTCGTTCGTTCCGACTGCCTGTAGTTGAGACAATGCTCCCTAGACGAGTGAATGAATGAAGTAACCTATTTCAAATCATTCGCGTTAATGGTGATTGGCTGTGCTGACTGGATGTTGCTGTTGTTGGTTGGTTGGTTATTTTCATAACCTTCGTCTTGTCTTTGTTTACCTGGAGTCCTGTCTTCGCCGGCTACTTGTTCGACCGACGAGTTTGTCGGTTTTCGCTTGTAAGTCTTCGATTTTGTGTGACATCAAACATAAATCATCCACGCGCGAAATCCAGGTCTTGTAGGTTCTTCACATCGGTAGGTCCAGAATATCCCTGTCTTCTCGTTTCTCACTGTCTTCCTTTATTAAGTCAATTGTTACCGTTACTATTCTTACTTTGTACTGTCTCTACTATAATTTCATTCGCTTCACTTATCAATCTAAATTCTATGTTACCAACCTTCACACAACGTTACGTAGCGTCTTTATTTTTATTCTACTTGCCCTAACTCTCTTGCAACCTGATGCTGTGTTGGCTAACAATACCCGTCGAAGAAGGTAATGGCCTAGACATTTGCAGCGTATGTCCTAGTCATCTCAATTAATCAATATCCCTCTACAACCTCATTGACTGACTTACCCTGCTCACCTTAAACTACGCCTACCCCCAATATTAATTACAACACAAACAGCTGTGATCAAAGACACCTAGTTTCAACGGCCAAGTCTCACAATCATAAAGGAGGACAGAGTGAACTGCCGCACTGCTGCACATGTTCTCCTTATGTGAATTTTATTAATAATCCAATTCGATTTCATTATACTTTTCTCTTTTTTTAATAGATTGAAGCACATCCAGTAACTGATTGTTTAGTTGGACAAACTGATACACGTGTTATCATCCGATTGAATATCCATGTTGGTAATATTTCACTGGTAGACCAATTTGAATGGGATCTTTCTGAGCCGAATAATTCACCAGAACAATTTGCTTCAAGATTATGCGCTGAATTAGGCTTGGGTGGAGAGTTTGTTACTGCTGTCGCCTATAGTATACGTGGACAACTTGCTTGGCATCAAAAAATTTATGCATTTAGGTAATTTCCTGCTCTGGGATTTTATTTTATGCAAATTTTTTGGTATTTTTCAACATAAAGGCTTGGATTAACTTCATTAAAATGACTGTAGTGTACTACACAGTTTGAAAATCTGCAGCAGTACACACTCATGATGACTCTGACTTAGGGGTCGAACCGAGGACGTTCTGATTACGAGACCAATCTATAAGCCATTTAGGCTTCTGGGTTGGAATTCAATAATCACTGAATACCGTCTGTCAATCCCCGATATAGTTTTATCGCCCAGCAATGTCAGTGATGCGCATCCGCCTAACCGTGACTTGGTACAGACTCCATCGGTCAAGACTTCTCCTTAGAACTTCAGAACATCTCTCCTATTCAGATTGTGTGTATTTTGCAGAGATTTCTTATGATTAGTAGGTTGGACTGGTAGTTCAAAGGTCCTGGGACTAGATGGTTTAAAATAGAGAGATCATGGTGTTCTGTAGAGGATCTATCCAAGAAAAACAACAACAACGTATCTCACATTCTCGAGGGACTAATCATGCGATCAGCTGTCTCAAGAATTACCTGATGAAACCGTGCTAAAAACAAAAAAAATCTTATTATCAAAAATAACTGTTGATGAAAATATGTTTGAACAACCAACGCTGCATAAACAGATGAAATGAACGGATCGGCGAACTGAACTCCATTCATAGACGATAAGCAATTATGTAGTCTGTATAAAGTTCATTACGGAAATAACGAATAAGAATGACAATCGACAGTTGCTTAAACATTTAAAGATCTATGGAGAAAAAAAGTAACCCGTTCACGAAGATTCATAAATTGTCATTCAGCTCAATCGTTGTAAGAGGAGGGTAAATACAAGTGCCTCCTAAGAAGAATACGTAAACTGGAAAGATTCTCGGGCGACCAGTGAAAAGAAAAAGACATTTCATTCAAAATTCTCTTTAAAAGAATAGCTGCTATCTTAAAAAATAAAAATACATAAAGCACATTATGTGCCAGACTGTGCATGGGGAGTAAGAAGACAGGAATACGCCGAAACACCGATAAGAAGACTCTAGAAGATTTGGATTTCGCGCGTGGATGATTTATGTTTTAATGTCACACAAACTCGAAGACTTACAGGCGAGAAACAAAAAAACTGCTTGGAGAAGCAGGTTGGCAGCGAAAGCAGGACTTCAAGTGAACATAGAGAAGACGGAGTTGAGTGTTGAAGATAACCAACCAACAGCATCAATCACCATCAATGTGAGAGATTTGAAAGACGTTACTTCTTTCACTTATCTAGGAAGTACTGTTTCAACCACCGGCAGTCAGAAGGGCTCCAGATGTCAAAGATAGCTAGAATCGGAAAGATAGGCCTTCACCAATGAATCTGAAACCAGTTTGGAAATCTTCTGCACTCTGCCTTAGCATAAAGAACAAGATCCGAATTTTCAACACCAATGTTAATTCAGGCAGTTCTTCTATATGGGTCAGAAATTTGGCGTGTGCGTCACTAAAAGTAGTTCAAACACCCCATTGCAGATTTTTATCAACAACTGCCTTCTATGCATATTGATAGTCAAATGGCCAAAAAGAATTAAAAACAAGGTAATGTCGGAAGTGAACCAACCAAGAAGCGAATGCTCAATGAATAATCAGAATTGGGCACACGCTAAGGGGACCGTTGGGTGACGTTGCTCGCGAGGCCATTACGCGGGTGAAATCTGAGGATGACACGGAGGAAGTCGTGCGCTGAGGAGACGAAAGACTGTGGTCATCCAAACATTGAATATAAGAACAAAAATTTCAACGTTAGAGGTTGTAAAATGGTTTTAAGAAAACTACTACGCAGAAGTATTGAAGGAAATAACACTTCATCATTCAACATTTTTTGGAAATTGAATCCTACTTGGACTTTCCCGTTGATTGATTGCCACGAAATATGCTTGGCCTCAGGTTGATATGTCGTCGGATTTTTGTGCAGATGCTTCGAGGATGTCTGACTATTTAATCTGAAGTGAATTGGTCAATGGCAACTAGCAGTGGATGGAATCCAGGATGCACGTTTCATCCTATTTAGGATTCGTCAACCGGGTGTACCTGCAAATAATTACCGATACCCTTTGCACAAGAGGTGGATAGCTATCGTGACCCAAGTGGTCTAAAGGATAACACTTTGGCGTCAGAAACTATGATGGGTACTGGGTATGCCTCTCAGTGGGAACACCACCACTGACTGGGGAATGCTTTGACTATATCATAAGGTAAGCATAATGTTATTCGGTTGACTACTGTGCTTCGTTTCGTTTTGTTCAGCATGTCACCTACTTCTTCCGTGTGTGGTGTTTCCACCGGGGCTCAAACCCAGCACCGATCATCTCAAACTTCAAAGCTCGTATCCTTTATGATTTAACATATATCTTACCAAGTGTTGGTTTGTAGGGATTTGATTGGTTTCAGGATTTCATCATGAGCTGACATTAGTTAGAGAACCATTGGAAAACCAACTGGGAGTACTGGTCAGCTGTTTCATCCTAGTTTGGGAATCTTCAGCAGTACGCACCCACCGGGATTCGAACCCCAAGACCTTCCGGTTTCAAGGCGAGCTCGTATACCATTAAGCCACTGGGACCTGATCCGATGGCCAGTTCATGAATTCTAACTTCTGCCAATTCACGACATAGCGCGACCGCTAGCCAATGTCTTCGGCGAGTATTTGTCCTCACACCCTCCCAAGTGGTGACCAGTAGGGTGCAGCGGGTCGGGTGTGAGGACAAATACTCGCCGAAGACATTGGCTAGCGGTCGCGCTATGTCGTGAATTGGCAGAAGTTAGAATTCATGAACTGGCCATCGGATCAGGTCCCAGTGGCTTAATGGTATACGAGCTCGCCTCGTAACCGGAAGATCCTGGGTTCGAATCCCGGTGGGTGCGCACCACTGAAGAGTCCCAAATTAGGACGAGACAACTGTCCAGTACTTCCAGTTTGTTCCCCAATGGTTCTCTAACCAATGTCAGCTCATGAATAATGAAATCCTGTAACCATTGTATCTTATCACTTTTTCTATGATGTTGGAACACACGCACTGTGTGTCACCACATGAATAAAACTTATCTTAACAGAGACATGTGTGTATTTCTCTCTTGTTTTTCTTTTTTGGTACACACACGCACACAATTCATAGTGAATCTCCATTGCCAACAGTTGATATTGTGTTTCGTAATTCCAATGAAGCTGATCAATGGAGTCCAGTGGTTGAAGTGTTGACAGATGCAGAAATGGAGAAAAAGATACGTGATCAAGATCGTAATACAAGGTAAGCATAGCAGTTGATTTAACAATCATACTTAGATATCTGGATCGAGTTGTTCTTTTACGGCTTAAGATATCAGTATCAATCAATGTTAAGCAGAAGTGTTTTAATATTATTCAAGAATGTCATCCTTGAAGTCTATTTATAAACATACGAAATAATATATCAGGTTGATCTGTACTATAGCCATTTGAATGTAAGATTTTACTCTAACTCACGTATCATATCATTTTAAGGGGCAAAGTTAAACTTTCAGCACCACTAATAACCAATCAGCAAACGACCTCGAACAGACCAATCACATGAATGAGGCATTTATGATAAAGGGAAACGTATAATTATGGAAAAAATAGCATAAAACTGTTACAGAGGGTATCTTTCTCTAACATGTGAGAAAAACATCTCCCGGTTAAGCATATGACTGTCAATAGAAAAGTTACACCACTTTCTGTACATATATATTCATCCAACTGACTATAAATGAGATCCTTTTGAGATCCATTTATAGCCCTAATCCTATTTTCCAACCTCTCCCCAAATCCTTCAATAGAATTTGTATGTGTCCAAGAGATGACAGAGATTTGTAATCTTTCCATTCACCCGTATGTATTATTGATCCTCGTTCAACAAGTCTGGTACTAATAGGTATAAGAGTAGTTGCTTTTCTATCTTCTATCCTTTCCACGAATCCTTTTCGGAGGGAGGTGTCGTATAAACCAATTACCCAAATATTGTTGGCTCGCTGACGACCACGGTTGTATTTCTTCTTCACCAACACAGTTTCATCGACGTGCACAACAGTGTATTCTCCACCCAACAAAGAAGTGATTTTCTCCATTTTCCACGAAGCAATGTCTCTGCAATGCTGATACCACTGAACTGTTGAAACGAGGCTATTTTCGGTTTCAGCAGCTGCGGCTCCCACTGGCTGTTTTAAGACCCGGTGGTTGCAAATTTACAAAATTTGCGTTAAGGAAAGATGTGACCTTGGAAAAAAAAGTTCTTACGAAATATTAAAATTTTCAGCTTACCTTCTCTAATGCTAACTCACCTCAAACAAATTCCACAACGATGGACATACCCATCAACTGACCCACACGAACAAATTCGCTCCTTCCGAAGCAACCCTAAATCCAGGCAACACTGGAAAACACTATCCTCCTCGAATTGCAACCGTAACTTCGTCAGGGAACGCATTTGAAACGAATCAAACGCTGTACAACATTGAACTCACGTTCACGAATCTCATTGAATAATTCGACGTCGTTTGCTGATTAGTAGTTAGTGGTACTTTAAGTTTAACCTGGCCATTTGAAGAACCTTTGGAAACCAGTTGAAATTATTGGACAACTTTGTGGTCCCAGTTTGAGACTCTTCAGTAATGCGCACTCATCCCACCGGGGATTCTGCCTCAGCGACTGAGTTCGCCTGTTAACCTGGAGGAGGTTCTGAGTTGGGGTGATGGATGTGCACTGCTGATGAGTCCTAAACTTGGTGGTCGCAACAACTGTTCAGTGCTCCCTGGTATTCAATTGTCTTCTAATTGTGACATTAGCTTGTGATCAAATGTTTTGAAACCAAACAAATCCATGTAGACCAACACTTGTGAATTGTGTATCTTTTGGCAATTCAAGCTTTGATCCCCACACTGAAAGATTACAGCACATTCTTGTCCCATTTGACACACTTCTCCTTGTGTGAACTAGTCAGTTGAATATTAATCGTTTTATCTATCTGAGTTGCATCGAGAACTAAATGATAAATAAATGTGGTCTTTGCATATGGTTACATAACACTACGACGGTACATATTTTGTTAAGTGTTAGAAGTCAGTTTTCATTCATGAGGTTAGACACAAGGCAGACGGATCCTTGTGTTTATTAATCAGTTAGTGAGTAATAATGAGTAATCGTTTAATCCCAAGTAGAACCGGATTTGCATCACTCAGTTTCACCTCTGTTTCTTTTCGCGTTCCCGTGACCCAATAAGGTAGAAAAAGTGTGTTAAGAAAGCCAAGTTGAAGAATATCGAGAAACGTATTATACGTGTTACTTCACAGACAAAATTTTGTTTTTTTGAAGCCTCTACTTTTGTTGTCACCGGTTAATCAATTCTGTATGCACTACTTGTAGAGCTGTAACTCATTGGTTTAGGCACTTGATTTCCAACCAAGTTCGAACCTGGTTCGAACACCGCCCCCCACCTACTGACGTTTGGACAGCTAGGTAGAGTAGTATCACTAGCTCTTGCACAGTAGGAATGTAGCTCATGCCTAACTGCATGAAGTTACAAGTAGTTGTTTGGGTATGCCGGGCACTCGCTGGCTAACCATCAGTTGACCTGCTTTACCTGGGATATTTATGGTTCACAGTGAACGCATCTGCTCTATTGACAAGGATTTAGAGTCATATTAGCAATAGTCTCAAGCCACTGGTTCGTAGCATCCTAGGGGGACCCCAACCAGGCAGTTTACACGTTCCTGTGTGGCTTCTTCAGACGGAAAGTCAAATACTTCATTGGTTGATCCCAAGTTTTAATTCACCCGCCACCTCTAACTTATTTCCAACCTAATCCTATGTCAGCTAATATTGCTCATCATATTATGCCAGTTAATACGGAACGTAAAACCCAAACATTTGTTGTCAAAGTCAGCTAACCTTTTCATATCTTCTAATTTCTATGACGTGCGTTGGTGGCACTCAGATAGAATGCTCGCCAACCACGCCTCATGTGGTCTGGGGTTCGATTCCCGGCCACCAATGCACTCCTTTACCTCTCTAAGCCATTAATAAGACTGATAAAGAAGGAAGGTTGGGCATGAAACTAGCAACCCCATTCATCCCGTAAGAAAAAAATACCACTTCTATCGAAACTTCAAGCCTCTAGCCTAAAGGTGCCCTATGTTCCACTGGGAACGTACAGGAATAAGAAAAACAGACGCTATATGACAATGTCTCACAGCCATAAAGAAAGGAGCACAGATCGAACTACTACGCATTCTACATGTCCTTTGATTCATAGCCAGTCGGATATCACGTCTACACTTTTGAGATGACGTAATTTGGTTAAATGTCTCACAGTCATGCGAGTTGTTTTTGTAGGTCACATAGTGGAATAAGCTTCATTCCAGCTAGAATATTCAGTAATGCAATACAACTTATTTTCATGACACGTTAGTCAAACTAACTAACTGTGTATATATGTATTGCTTGTGTTTACTAGGCGAATGCGTCGTCTGGCCAATGCACAACCGAATTGGTGATCTCGCTGTCGTCTTCTTCTTCTTCTTCGGCTTCCTTATCAATCGATGTCCAATGTTCTTGTATATTTTTATTTCACTTTGTGTTATTTAAACTATATCAATAAATAAATAAATAAACAATTTGTAATATGAATGTGTTCTTTGTTTAAACAAGTGCTTAGCGTATACAACTCTTCTGGTATGGTTGTCTAGGTGAAACCCCTCGACAGTTCATTGGAAAGCACAGCAAAGTAATGCCCGAAGAAGGGGGATTTTGGTTGTTGGAAGCAATCGGTGACTATCTAATAGTAATTTAAAATGCACTGAGATACCAAGTCTACCAGCGTGACGATCATATTTCACTGACACTGTTTACGACACAGTTCGTCGATGGTTCTAATGGTCAGGTTTCAATTCCCAGCTGACACACTCCTTAACTTCTCTTAACTGGTAATAAACCCCAGGATACAGGAGGAGAATTTTGGTGCGGTACTGATTCACATCATGGCGTTCCCTGTGAAACACAAAGGAAGTCGGTCACAGGTTCGACTGGTTCAGATGTACTATTTCTGACTGTAACACTGGTTTATGCGGGTCGGAGTATCAATCATATGGGGATAGTGATTCTTTCAAGGATACAGGCATACCTGACTGATGAATGCCAGTGAGCACGAAATCTAGGTTAGGCCAGGGCTTTCTATCTCCACCCATTTAGTAGTAGTAATCCTTGGTCACTATGGTGTATGGTGGTCTAAATAACCTCATTATTGAGTGTACATCTTCTCTTCCTCCAGTGACAATAAAGTGATAAATGATCTTGTGTGATTGACCGGAGGATTTCATCATGAGCTGACATCAGTTAGAGAACAGTTGGAAACCAGCTAGGAGTACTGGACAGCTGTTTCGTGATGAAATCCTCCAAACAATCAAACGAAATTTCCTACAAAACCCATACTTGGAAATCAATCTGATGCTCACTGGCCCTATTCAGGCAGTGACCAAAGGGGTACAGCAGGTTGAAGATGAGGCAGTAACTCATCGAAGAAGACATTTCGAAGTGGTCGTGTGGTGTCATGAATTGATAGAAATTAGCATTCATGGGCTGGCCACTGGGTCGGGTCTTAGTGGCTTAATGGTCTACGAAGCTAGCTCACCAGCCTTGTAACCAGAAGTTCCTGAGTTCGGACCCTGGTGTCGGGTGCGTACTGCTGAAGGGTCCCAAACTAGGAGGAAACAACCCGCGGTAAATAATTCATCAAAATTATTAGCCTACAGCTTTCATCATTCCACATTAGTTATTGGCCTTCTCTTATCGAGTTGAGTGATTAATCTGAAGGTACACGGTCAAACACCTACGATATTTTGACCCGCTATCGTTTTGCGTCCAACCATCTGTGCACACCCTAGTTAACTAAGCAGACAGTAATGCCCGACGTTTCTGATCCTGAAATATATTTCGTGACTGATTTGGCTTTCTAACGTTTATCTGATCATACAGAATAATGACATTGGTTCTGATGTGGTTTTGTTCTCTGAGCTGGATGGTTAGTTTGCGAAGCTTTCATCACCTTACTGGGTGACATCTTCAGCGCATACTTCAAATTGAAGTATGCGCTGAAGATGTCACCCAGTAAGGTGATGAAAGCTTCGCAAACTAACCATCCAGCTCAGAGAACAAAACCACATCAGAATCATCCACCTGAGCTACAAATCTTCTCTATAATATCTAATGACATTGGTGGTTGGAGAGTATGTGCGCGCATTACCTAATAATTGTGCTTTATACAGTTATCTACACTCTTCGTACCCTAAAATAGAACACATATATGTAAGTGAACCGGCTATATTTTTATGCAACTGTGCTCTGTACAATGTCAAAATATATATCGGTACGCTGTGCCACTCATCTCTCAGTTATTACCATGCTCAAGAGTAGATAGGACCCCTTATTGAAGCCCAATAAATGCCTTTTGGATTTGTATAGAATTCCAAATTAAGTATTCTATCGTAATCAGTACAAATCCCGCTCAATCTATCGATGCTTCGGCATTACGTAACATAATAAGCCTCCAAACAACCCGTTTATCTTATTGCCGAATGGATGCATACGTACCTTATTGTTAAGTGAAACTTTCTCCACTCCATGTGACATGCATTGAGGAGTGAGTCAGATAGTTCAATCCTTACCTGTTTGATTACAGCTCTCCTCGAATGGAAAACTGTCAGACACCCTTCACCTTCATTATTATTATTCCCTGAGGTCTGAATAGAACATAGAGCTTCAACAGCAAACCTCCAATTCGTCCTATTTTCTGCTGACCCCACGATTACCCATAGGCTCTAATCTCCTCAATGTCACTCTCGAATGCCTAACGCGTCGTTTCCCAGTTGAGCTATGCTCTGGCACGCTGTGTCACCTAACTGTCTTCTTAGTGTGTCTAACCTGTCTCTATTTTCTTCTACGTATTAGTTGGGCGATAGGTGCTCAATGGGTTCGTTCCAAGTGTTTCTTGTTGCTGATTGTTTCTAGTCATCTGATCTTCAGTATGTAGCCATCGAAGACGCTCGCCAACCATGCATGTGGTCTGGGGTTTGACTACCCCCCCCCTCCTACTAAACCTCACTAAGCCAGAAGGCATTGTGAAGTGGTCGTGTTGTGTCATGAATTGGCAGAAGTTAGAACTCATAGGCTGACCATTGCATCGGGTCCCAATGGCTTAATGGTCTATGAGCTAGCTCGCCTGGTAACCAGGCCCTGGGTCCGAACCCCGCGTTCTGGGTGCTTTCTGATCAAGAGTCCCGAACCAGGACAATCCAAAAATCCAGTTGGTTTCTCAATGGTTCTCCAAAGAAGGAAATAATATCGCCGAATTTCAATAAAAAACAACCCTAGATATCGTTACTACATGAATCGGTGGCACAGCGATACATTGAATGCTCCCCAACCACGCCTCACGTGGTCCGAGGTTTGATCCCTGCCCCCGACCGACGCACTCCTTTACCTCGCTAAGCCAGTAGTAAATAAGACTGGTAAAGAGGGAAAGTTGGGCGTGAGACTAGCAACCCCATTCATCCGGTAAAAATAAATACCGATGCTACTGAAACTCTATAGCTCTAGCTTGAGGCCTTACGTTCCACCGGGAACGTAAAGGAATAAGAAAAACCATAGTGTCTTGGCAATTAATGAAGTTTTCATCTGTACTACCCACCCACCGCGTGGCTGAGGTTCTTCGACATGTTGTGACAGACACAAATTTGCCCTCCCCACCCCCGTAACTCAAACAACGGGAAAACTAAAGAAAAAGTCTGTACATGTGTAATATGAAACTGATATTATGATGTAATTCACATAGAAAAAGAGGGGAAAAAAGGTCAAAAAAGCATTTGGTTCAGTGATAGCAAGTTTGTATACCATAACTTAAAATGACCCATGTTCTTCAAGGAGGAGGCCTATTTTGTAAGTCAAGTTGCAGCACATTTAACGACCTTCCAGTTGTCTTTCACGAGTATTCACTGATTCATCGAATTTTATCACATACGCTGTTCCCTTATACCAAGTTGCTGAAACTGTACAAGGCTAGAAATAAAAGTATTGAAAAAAAATAAGCACAAATATTATAATAATTTTTATTTATTAAAATATATATGGGCGCCAAGACGTGTGCCATACAGAATATTATAGTTTGTGAGATGACTGGAACCGAAGTTACCTTTAAAGGACCGCCGTACGAGTCTTTGGCTTGTAGTCTCATCCGCAAAGCAGTGGAGAAGAGTCAGGAGTTATATGTTCTCATGGTTCCCCGTAACCAAATCAGGTTCTCATACGCTAATCGATCTATTCGGATTCTGGAGCTTATTTACACTTAGCTAGCCCGTTTAGGTAGTCCACCAGTCCGATTACCAGCCCCAAACGTTCAAATTTATCCTTTAACTTTTGTGAGGGTTAAATTTATCCTTGTTATGATCATTATTGTTATCACAATGACTACGATGCACTAATTCATATATGATAGAAAAGATTTGTAGCTCAGGTGGATGATTTTGATGTGGTTGTGTTCCCTGAGGTGGATAGTTAATTCGCGAAGCTTTCATCGTCCTACTAGGCGACATTTTCAGCGCATACTTCAATTTAAAGTGAGCTATTAGATTTCTCCACGAGTTCACTGTTAGTCATCTCTCCTGGTGAGTGGCCTGGAATTTGATTGGTTGCTTATTTGTGTTTCCACACCTTCTAGGCTATTTGTTTTGGAACTGGTTGTTTCTTTGACTTAAACTTTGACTCGTTGAGTGTGAGGTTACTTTCTTATCGGTTGATAAATTGTGTCTATCTCAATGTGTCTATTAATTGATGATTCACTAGAATACCAGGCTTTTAAAAATTCTCTAGCATTCTCGGTATTGTTTTCTCTGTCTAATAATCTGAACGTTGTCCCAGTCGAATTGATGTCCGTGGTTTTCTGTATGTAGTGATATGAGTGAGGAAGTGGTTATGATGTCTTTTGACGGCCAGCTTATGTTCGTGGATACGAAGACGAAGAGGACGTCCACTTTGGCCAATGTAGTGTTTTTCGCAGTTGTTACAATTTATTTTGTAGATGATGTTGGTTTTATCTTCTTTCGCTGTTGAGTCTTTTGGTTGACATAGAACTGAGTGAGAGAGGGCAGATACGATTAGCTGATACATATCACCGGATTGTCTAATAAACGGCAGGAAAACAGCCAATCAGAAGACGTTGCTGCTTCTCTGCTAACAATAACGCTAATAATAATGTACATAAAAATCTATAAATATCTGTTGATTTTCTCGATAAACGATCTGTCGCCTGCCTGGCCCTTGTCTTCTGTCGCTACAACAGTAAATAGGAAGGCTAGCATAACTATTTCAGGCTCTATATACTACTGATTAACTTAAATGAGTAGTTGGATATATCTCACAACAACCATTTACGGTAATCACGCACATCATAACAATAGTGATATCAATAATTTCAACTTCCAAAGAACACTGTGATGAAACCTTACCTCGAAGTTTGTGTAAAATTGCAAATCTCGAATATGATTGAAAAGTGAGGATGTTTTAAGAAAGAATCGGGGAAGTAAGACAGGGCTTCACTACTATGAAGTAAGTTTGAAAAACTTTTGCACTGACTCAGCATAAAGAAGAAAATGCTGATTTTTAGCACTAATGTTAAGTCGGTCAGTCAGTTCTTCTATATGGGTCAGAAACTTGGCGTCCGCGTCACGAAAAGCATTTCCAACAGGTGACTATAGACTTTTATCAACAGTCGCCACCTTCGATGGCTCCATACTAAAGATTAGATGGCAATGAGAAACTCTGAGAACGAACCAACCAGGAGCCAACTGCACAACAAGTATGTAGGAGAAAATAGAGATGGGTCGGGCACACGCTGAGAAGACCATTGAATGACATCGCATGCCGTGCCATGCCATCACTCGAATGAGAAATTACCCGTTAGGCGTCCGAAAGTGACATTGAAGAGGTCATATGGGAAGGAGATGAGAGCCTATAAGCAGTCGTGGGGCCGACAGGTGAAGAAGACTTCAGAGAACAGCACAAAGTGGAGATGTGCTAGGGAAGCTGTATATTCTACTCAGAACCCAAGGAATAATAATAATAATATTTCTCAAGGGTTGATTTGTAACGATTTGATTCGTCACGGATTGATATCAATTAGAGAGTCATTGAAAACACCAGTTAGGAGTACTGGATAGCTGTTTCATCCCAGTTCGAAGTACATCGTTGGTACACACCCATCGCCAGGATTCGGACCCAAGACCTTCCCCGGTTACAAGGCAAGCTCACATACCATCCAGCCCCACTGGAACCCAATTCAATGACCACTGCATGAATTCTAACTTCTACCAATTAGTAATTTTTAGCGCGACCCCCAACCAAACCAGTGTCATCGGTGGGAAATCCATCCTTACTCCCCCGACTGGATGCACCTCATTGGTCACCACTTCTCATTAAAACTCCAGGAAACTCCATCCTCTAGCAATTCGCTATCGAGCATCAGACTATAATTCTCAAGGGTTGATTTGTAAGGATTTTATTTGTTTTTCAAATTCGACCACCGATTGATATCAGAGATTGAATCGGATTCCAGTGGCTGAATGGTATACGAGCTTGCTAGCCTTGTAACCGGAAGGTCCTGGGTTCGAATCCCAGTGGGTGAGTACTGCCGATGATTCCCAAACTAGTTGGATGAAACAGTTGTCCAGTACTCCCAGCTAGTTTTCAATGGCTCTCTAACTGATGATATCAATCCATGGTCAAATTCGAACAAATAATATTATAATAGTAATAAAGCCTGACAAGAAATTACTGAAAATACGCATTATTATTATCAGTATTATTATTATTACTATGACAGTTTCAGGTAGATAAACTGATTAGTCTTTTATCCAACGCATCAACAAGTCTGAAATAACAACATTATGGATAAGATTTTTATTTTGATAAATCATACAGTGTTTTTGTACAATAATATTAACTGATGACCACTTCGCGAGCATAAACTATTGCTCATAATCGTATTAAGTTACTCAAACAACTTTTTTCTTTCATTTATATACATGTGTGGAATCGATTAGATATTGGATTAATTCGTCTTATCCGTTAACTGTTAAGGCAGGCTTAGTGAAGTGTCTAACAAACCGAGCCATAGCACTAAGTGGCACAAAAAAGACCGAAATGACGAAATAAAACAGACAGAAGAAGCGTTGGTATTGAATAACTATCCCATAAAATTCATTACGAAGATCAGAAACGGTCAAAAGAAAAATAATGGTGAAACTAATAATGATAACATAAATAAGAAAGAATATAAGGCATCTATAGTGTAACCATATAAGGTGGGAAGGGGACATCTGAGCACCTACATAGGATTCTTAATAAAGTAGGCATTAGGGTGGCATTGAAACCTACAAACTCACTCAAAGACAAGGTCTGTGGGCTAAAAGAGCTGGTTGAACCAATTAAACAAAATAATACAATTTACAAAATATCTTGGAATGACTATCAGTTACGTCAACTACACAGATCAGACTAGTAGATCGGGTATAGTCAGATTGTCAGAACATAAGAATTTAGCTGAGGTAAGAATTATTGATCCCGCCGGTGAAGATAAGTAATTTAGAAAAGAGCTCAGCAATCCCACTGCATGCAATAACACACAACCACACAATAGAGTTGTGGAGGATTAAAATTCTAAGAAGTAATGTAGGTAGGTGGACAGAGAGAGAGATTGATTACTGAATCCTGCTTTGTTCATCGAGCCTATACCCAACACATGCAACTGTCTGTCTGTCTGGATTCAACATAGAACTTGGCACCGAAGTGCAGCAGTTCGAGTTGCCACGTTCCAAATAGCACACAGAGGTAGACAAGAAGATGAGTGGAGAGAATTAATAGAGTTTGACAAATATAAGAGTGAAACAGAATGGGTAATGGTAGAAAGGAATATGAAAGATTACAGAGATTGAATACATCTGCGCCATTGACAACGATTTTGAGCCATGTCACCTATTGTCTCCAGCCATTGATTCCTAGAGTCCCGAGGGCCCCAACCCGGGAGTCTGCATCTCCCTACCTGACTCAGTTTAACTGTCAAGGATTTCATGGATTGATGCCATGTTTTTGTTTGGCCACCACTGGCTCTTTTCCAACCTGAACCTATATCAGCTAACAATGCCCGTCGGGGGAGGCGGTGGTTAGGCATGCGCACCACGTGACCTAGCCATCTTAGTCTATGTAACTTTATAACCTCGTCGATTGATTTTCCCTCTTTGCCCAACACTCTACGCCTAACGTCAACATTACTTATCTTGTGAAACCACCTAACGTGAGACAGAGATCGCAGACATCTATGATCGAAAGCAGTCAACCTTTTCATGTCTTCAACGCGTATTGGCCATGTTTCAGAGCCATAGAGAAGGACGGAGCGAACTGATGAGCAGTACACACGTCCCTTGGTTGATAACCGGATGTCACGCCTACGCCAGAGATGGTGTAAGTCAGCGAAAGCAGCTCGAGCTTTTCGGATCCGTGCTGAGATTTCATCGCCAATCAGTCCGTTGGTGCTAATACAACTTCCCAAGTAGGTGAAGTGGTCAACATGTTCTATCACTTCACTCCCTATCACTAAGTTAGGGGTTGACGTCGTCCAGTCCTGTAGCAGCATCTTACATTTTGCAGGGGCGAATCGCATGCCAAACATACGAAGATTGCTGCTCAAGGTGTTCAGAAGACTCTGCATTTTGTCAGCATCCTCCCCTAACAGGACTATGTCATCTGCATATTCTAAGTCCATTAGATTATTCCCTGGTAACAAGTCGATTCCTAAGTCACTACGTTCAGTTAAGGATACTTCCATTAGCATATCTATGATGAAGTTAAACAGAAATGGGGAAAGTGGACATCCCTGTCGGACACCACTGGTTGTTACTAATTCAGATGACAATTCCCCATAAGCCCTTACACGACTACGTGAGTTTGAATAGAGTGCCTTGATTAGTGCAATGTACTTTCTTGGCACTCCCTTCACAGTCAGACATTGCCATAGTACTTTTCGGTCCACGGAGTCGAAGGCCGCCTTCAAGTCAAGAAATATGACAATTGTTGGACGCCGAAAAGTGTGTCTATGTTCTAGAATCTGTCGAAGAGTGAAGATATGATCTATGCACCCTCTACCTGGTCTAAAGCCTGCTTGATTTTCCCTTGTCTGTTCCTCCCGAGTTCTGCTTAGTCTATGCATGATTACTGAGCCTAGGATTTTAGAGACTATGTTCGTTAGGCTGATCCCCCTATGATTATCACACGAGGACTTGTTTCCCTTCTTGAATATCGGTATAATGAGTGACTTACCCCAGTCTGATGGTACTGTCTCTGATTCCCAGACTTTGCCTAGTACCTCAGTTAATCTACAAACTAGTATGTCACCCCCATATTTAAACACCTCCGGAATAATTCCGTCGGGTCCTGCCGCTTTGCCTCGTTTCAAATTACTGATAGCTTTTGTAACCTCACCTACAGACGGCGGACCAGTGTCTATATCCCATTCGGGTACGTGGTGGATGGCGGGGAGGTTCAGTGTGGCTGTAGGCAAGTTAAATTGTTCCTCAAAGTGTTCTTTCCAGCGTCCAACACATGCAACAGAAATGACTCAATGGAAATACCAGAAATATGGAAGATATTATTACCAGCAGTCAGTCAGTCAGTCAAATCAGAGGAGGATAATAAATAATCTCAAAATTCTATTTCAATTCAAGCACATCACAACAGCATAACGAGTAACTTATTATAACTATTAAAACACTCGTCTTGTTTCCCATCTGATTGTACTTGATCAATAACACTCATATTATTATTTCTGAATGTACATTATCTCATATTGATTTTTATTCCAATATCTAATCATGAATTCCACACATGTATATAAATGAAGGAAAAAGTTGTGTGAGTAGTGCCTTGATATGATTATGAGAGGCAATAGTTAGGGCTCGAAACGTCATCAGTTAATATTACTGCATAACAAGAGGTTTCTTGTGTATTTCCGATTGTGAACGAAACCTCTTGCTACCAGGGAACAATCTCGTTGACTTAGAATATGCAGACGATATAGTCCTACTAGGCGAGGATGCTGACAAAATGCAGAGTCTTCTACACACCTTGAGCTGCAATCTACGAATGTTTGGCATGAGATTCGCTCCCGCCAAATGCAAGATGATGTTACAGGACTGGACTACATCGACTCCTAGTTTAAAAATAGGAAGTGAAGTGGTAGAGCACGTTGACAGCTTCACTTATTTGCGAAGTACCATCAGCCAGTGCCAACGGGTTGATCTCTGACGAAATCTCAGCACGAATACAGGGGGCTCGTTTCGCATTTGCCAGTTTACGCCGACTCTGGCGTAGACGAGACGTTCGACTATCGACCAAAGGGCGGGTGTACTGCTCATCACTCCGCTCCGTCCTCCACTGAGAGTGGAAGACATGAAAAGACTAGCTGTCTTTGATCATAGGTGCCTGCGTTCTATTTCCCGTGTAAAGTGGCATAATAAGGTGAGCAACATGGAGGTTAGGCGTAGAGTTCTAGGTAAACAGGGGAAATCAATCGACGAGGCAGTGAAATTACATCGACTGAGATGGTTAAGACATGTGTTAGGTATGCCTAGTCATCGCCTTCCTCGACGAGCAATGTTAGCGGATATAGGGTCAGGCTGGAAAAAAGCTAGCGGCGGTCAAACAAAAACATGGCTTCACCAGTCAATGAAATCTACAACAGTTAGTTTAAACCAGTCACGTAAGACGGTGTAGGCTTCCTGACTGGTTGGGGTCCTCGGGACGTTAAAAACCAATGAAGACTGGAGACAATTGGTGAAATGGCTCAACATCGTTCTCAGTGGCGCAGATGCATCCACTCCTTGTGATTTATGATTTCTAATGAAACTGTTTTGTTCTTCGTTATTACTCTTCCTTTGTCTCACACCTCTGCTTACTGTCTCTGTTATGCTTTTCTTGTACTTTCTTCTGTTGCTTTGTGTGCTGCATGGAGGGAGTGTGGCGACTTGAACTGCCGCATATATGTGCAAAGCTATATGTCGAAAACAGACAGACAGACAGACAGACTGTATAACAACACTATGTGATTTATCAAAATAAAATCTTATCCATAATGGAGTTATACTCTACCACCACAGTGCCCAAGTTTTATACTTATATGAAATAACAACAATGAACAAAAAACAACAACAATAACAACTTACAAAGCCAATATTCGATAGGAAAGCTTCAACCACTCCAGCACTGAACGCTGCCACATTAAGCGGTGTAGCTGTTATAGAATAATCAATGACAGACAAAGGGAATAAATAAGATGAGTTACTTCTTAAGGACAAACAATTACTCACCTGTTTTACGCTTTTCATCTTTATCTTCATAAGTGAAACGTGTAAATCGATTCACCAGTGGTTCATGTTCAATCATATAAACTAAAAACAAAAACAAAAAAACACCGCTATAAAATCTAATCTGTATAAAATGACGAGTGGCATACAAATATTCTCGTCTACACCATCACGTTCTAATTCATCCGCTTCTTTGCCAAAGATACTTTTCCAAAAGTTACTTTTTAAAAATATCAGTGCATTGTACAAGCGAATATCACGTTTCTGTGGTTTATCTCGTGCATAGACAACATCGACCATACGTTCACCGACTGCTTTACCAAAATCGGAAAGTCTAAAGAAACGGAAAAAAAAAGAAATATTATATTGTGAAAATTGCATACCTCATTAATATAAATATGATATGTTTTTATTTTATTCTATTTTATCTTATTTTTTTTTACGACTTAATCACGGATTGATATCAGTAAGAGAAGCATTGAAAACCAGCCACAGGGAGTACTGGGACAATCACATCAAGGTACTACTACTCACACAACTTCCTTGCTACAGTTATATACATGAATGAAAACTGATGATTAGACACTTGAATAAAAATCAATATACGATAATGTACATTCGGAAATAATAATATTAGTGTTATCAATCAAATACAATCAGATGGGATAATAAGATGTTTTCATAGAAGAAAGTATGTAACTTGTTAGAATGTTACAGTGTGGAAATGAATACATTAATACCATTATTTATTATCCTCCTCTGATTCCACTAACTGGTGGTAATAATATCTTCCACATCTCTGGTATTTGCGTTGAGTCAGTTCTATTGCATGTGCTGGGTGTAGACTCTATGAACCAGGATTCAGCAATTAATCCCTCTCACTCTCCACCTGCCTGTATTACTTCTTAGAATTTTAATCCTCTCCTACCCTATTGTGTGGTTGTGTGTTGACCACTTCACATATTTGGGAAGACGTATCAGCACCAACGGACTGATTATTGGCGACGAAATCTCAGCACGGATCCAAAAACCTCGAGCTGCTTTCGCTCACTTGTGCCATCTCTGGCGTAGGCGTGACATCCAGCTATCAACCAAGGGACGTATGTACTGCTCACCAGTTCGCTCCGTCCTTCTCTATGGCTCTGAAACATGGCCAATACGAGTTGAAGACATGAAAAGGTTGACTGCTTTCGATCATAGATGTCTGCGATCTCTGTCTCACGTTAGGTGGTTTCACAAGATAAGTAATGTTGACGTTAGGCATAGAGTGTTGGGCAGGCAAAGAGGGAAAACCGATCAACGAGGCTATAAAGTTACATAGATTGAGATGGCTAGGTCACGTGTTGCGCATGCCTAACCATCGCCTCCCCCGACGGGCATTACTAGCTGATATAGGTGGTGCAGGTTGGAAAAGAGTAAGTGGTGGCCAAACAAACAATAACATGGCGTCGATCCATGAAATCCTTGACAGTAAAACTGAGTCAGGTAGGTAGGGAGATGCAGACTTCGGGGTTGGGGCCCTCGGGACTCTAGGAATCAATGGCTGGAGACAATAAGTGACATGGCTCAAAATCGTTGTCCAATGGCTAGCGCAGATATAGTATGCAGTCTCTGTAATCTTTTATATTCCTTTATACCATTACCCATTCTGTTTCGCTCTAATACCTGTCAAACTCTATTGATTCTCTTCACTCATCTTCTTGTCTACCTTTGTGTGCTATTTGGCACGTGGGAACTCGAAGTGCTGCACTTCAGTGCTAAGTTCTATGTTGAATCCACACAGGTTGTGTCTTAATCCATGCAGTGAGACTGCTGACTTTTTTCTTCCAAATTAATTACCTTTGTGGAGTCAATCATTTTAACCTTAGCTATATTCTTATTTTCTGAAAACCTCACTACCCCAGATCTACCAGTTTGACCTATGTAGTTGACCTAACTCAGTCAATACAAGGTATTTTGTAAATTATATTTTTTTTTGTTTAATTGGGTCCACTAGGTTCTTTAGCCTACAGAGCTTGTCCTCGCTGAGTGAGCTTGTAAGTTTGAATGTCACCCGAATTCCTGCTTTATGATTATGAGCAATAATTTGTGCTCAAAACATGATTATTATCATTATTATTCCATGATTTGAAAAACAGCATGTCTTATATTGTTGATTTTATTCAAATGTCTAATCAATTTTTTCACTCATGTATATAAACGAAGCAAGAAAGTTATACGAGTCGTGTCTTGATATGTTATTATGAGTAGCAATGATAAAATTGTGCTCGAAAGGTGGTCATCCGCAAAAATATTTTCTGTATAACAACACCACTGTGTGTATGTGACTTTATCAAAATAAAAGCAAATTTCTCCATAATGGAATATTGAAATTAACTGGTTGTTATGTACTCGTCTAGTAGTTAATAATCCTGACGCGGAAAGAGGGAAATCAGAAGACCGTCAGGTTTACGATGATACTTGTATTTTCCAGACAAGGAAAATAAATGTCACACAAGAGTGTGAGTGAAATGGTGCTTAGATGTACGAAATGTGTGTGAACCAGAATAATGTACAAGTGTCTAATACAAAAGTATATATGAAGATGGCTAATACACATGAACCAATAAGATAACTACTTTACTTTACTTTGGCTATCTCCTACGGGAGGATGAGCCGGCTTCATGAACATCTCGAATCATCGCTGCCCAGGCTTGGCGATCTGATGCAAGGTTTTGCGACAGGATTATCCAATTTGTAAGAGAGTTCATGAAGTTTCATGGGAATTAGGTACGAGTGATGTCCCCAGCATCGCCCGGCCTTTTGTTTGAGAGTGCAGCTCTAGCCTTTACATAACCAAGTGTGACCTACAAGGCAGTAGGAGTGGAGTAGGGAGTCCACTATCCATTGTCAGCCAGTCGGTGACCGGAGTCTGGCTCATACGCCTTTTTGAGTGGGGCCAGACATTCAGGGGATCCAATAAGCCCTTTGTCCATACGTCTGTCTACTGGTGAGCTCTGGTGAGCTTCATACGCCAGTCGTTGGAGGTTTGGAATCAGGGTTTAGCCATCTCCCCTAGACTGTCATCCAATGGACAGTCAACCCGGTGAAGAGCGCCGGGTATCCGCTTTCGCCCTCTCACTTTGGTGAAAAACACCTCCGCCACGTGAAGGCAGTGAGTAGGACTTCCTCAAGAGAGGCTATGTAAGACGTCCGGTCATATGGGAGCATGTCAAGAGGTGTACGGAGGGGTGGCCAACCCGCAGCGCAAGGCACGCACCTCCGACCATCCTGAGGCTTTGGAGGCAATAAGATAACATCTTACCATGATTGGATGTAATGTCATGTGATAACAAGGTCATACATTGTTTATTTAGTTAGTGGACAGACAAAAGCATATTGTCAGTTATAATGAAATATCGATCCATTTACACAGCAAAATATAATAGACTGTCAAAAACAAAACACACACATCATGTGGGTACATATCACTGGTCCAAAGAAAAAAAATGAAAATGCTTACCTTTTCTGGACAAGATCCATACTGGATACATTACGCATTGAATATTTCACCAGTTCAACAAATAGATAAGCAAACGATGCTATATTTGCCTAAATAAATATTAATTTGTTTATGGCATATCATGTATGTATATCATTGATTACATCACCACGAAATTTTGTTAAACTCTTTTCTAAAATTGCAGCAGAATTTTTTGAATTATGATAATTCATTGTTGTTTTGTTTTTTAACAATCTAGAAAAGCCAAAATAATGCATGAATTAGTTTAAATGTAAGAAAATGAAAAAATGACTTTATGCTTCCGTCACTCTATCTGAAACTCAACTACAAGCCCTATCATCACCAGGTCCCAAGTTCTGTAACAGTTCAACAGTTCGTCCTAAGTCAACAGGCCACATACTCAAGTGAAATTCGAAAATCTAATTAACCAGACCAACGATTTCAAGACCACATCACCTCAGGAATTCTAACACTTTTAATCTACAGTTCTTAATTGCTGTCATCAGTTTACTAGTTCAAAACCTAGCTCGAATAATCTTCTGATTAAAGAGCATATAGTTCAACTTAAAGAACTAGAGAAGAATGATATGATATTATCATATGCCGTCCAGACAAAGGTGGGGATGCTGTAGTTAGAAAACCCTAGTGATACTTTCTGACTAAATGAAATTCGCCAAACCCGATGGTGGAAAAACGAGACACATCTAATTGAAAAGCAATTGACTGGTGCCTTTAAGAACACGAGGAATAAGTCAGTAATCTCCTCAGATATATATATGAACGCATCCCACTAGTAGGTTCGATAATACCACGTTTGTATGGAATACCAAAAAATCACAAGACAGGATTAACCGTTCGTCCAATTCTCAATATGGCGGGTTCTCCTTATCACGGAATTGCTCAGTGGTTAGCTGAAATACTGGAACCAATTAGAGGGCAAGTGTCTAAGTTTTCCATAGGTGATACGCTTAAATTTATTGAGTATCAAGGTAATTAAACTGCTGTAGTTTGTGTAGTTGTTAGCTTATCCCCACTAAGTTAGGATACTTGGGTTGGTTTATGAAATGCCTAAAAAGTGTGTATATATACGTGAAGTCGAAGGTAACTCCTTTCATTTTCATGCTTTATATCTTTATACTCCATCTTAATGTTTAATCATGTATAAATACGAATAGCGAAAATACTTCGGTTGAATACAATTAGAAGCTACTAACTCAACTAAGGTATTGCCAGAAAGAATCCTCTGTTCTAATTGTAAGCAAGATGTAAAAGAGAAAGGGCTGAGCGTTTTACCGCCCTATAGAAGACCGGTTACAAGAGCCTTTTCTGTTACTTTTATCCGGAGCGTAGTTTCAAAACATCCCAGGAAGGAGCACAATGCCTCACACCAGTTAACTATTGTTTTATTAGTCTTCCATTCACAATGGCCGTAGGAATTAAAAGAACACCACAGCAAAACAAATTTGAGGGGGGGGGAATCAAACAATCAGTGAAACCACTACAAGATATATTTTTCCAAAAGCAGTCCCTCCATTTACCGCAAACTTCGCAAGAAGCGAATGTGATAATGAATAATCCATTTCAGTGAATTTCAACGAATACCTAACGTACAGCTTGACTTTAAATTTGCCTAACAAGTAATTGAGGAGAAAGCTAGTCGGCTGAAATATATTAACTTCAACCGATTATTCACACAGTCTTTACACAAATAGCAATGGAATTTAAACCATGGATAGAGAACGTACAAATAAGGCCTACCGTCCAGAATGGACAACATACCATAATGAAATAAACTGACTATGAGAATGCTTAATGAGTTTTAGCGTGAAAACATTTACTAAAGAATCAGTTTATGACAGCTTTCCTGGGTAGAGGAGAAGGCAAAACAAAAAGTGTTTCAAGTAATTCTGTACTCTGAGGTCCTAGCTCTGAAGTATGGTAGATTAAATTTTACTCGGACATAATCGCTATTTCGTGTGGAAATTTGTCATTTTTATGCCAAGAATATATCATCCAACCTCACAAAAAGTTGCGGTCTGGCTTATGGCCATCCTATTATGGCCGGCAATTTGCAGTATGTTATTAGAAGTTGGTCAAATTAAACTTCAGGCGCCAGTAAGTACCAGCGGAGTGAGACCGCATCAATGACTTTGAAGTGCTCAGTGATCCAGTTAGTGGAGCCTGGTAAATGACCTCGTAATCATGAATGAAAATACGCTTAATGCAGTGTTATTTTATTAAATGACATATACCTTTGTCTCACACCTCTGCTCACTGTCTCTATTATGCTTTTCTTGTACTTTCTTCTCTTGCTTCGCGTGCTACACGGAGTGTGGCGACTTGAACTTCCGCACATTTGTGCAAAGTTCTATGTCGGAAACAGACAGACAGAAATGACATATATGGCGAATTTTAGGTTAGGTTCAAGAATTAGTATACAATTGGTGGATGGTGGCTAGCAGTGGAATCCAGGATGCGCATTTCGCCCTATTTGGGACTCGTCAACTGGATGTACCTGCATTTCTCAGTGAGTGATGATGTTCCCACTGAGGCTCGAACCCAGTACCCATAGTTTCAAACGCCAAAGCGTTATCCACTAGACCACTTGGGCCACGAGAGCCACCTCTTGTGCGACGGGTCATATTAATTATTGAATTGAATTTTTGATTTTCCCGTCGATTGATTGGACCGAAGTGCTCGGTCTCAGGTTGACTGAGCACCTGGGTTCGAGCCTCAGTGGGAACATCATCACTCACTGAGAAATGCAGGTACATCCAGCTGACGAGTCCCAAATAGGACGAAATGCGCATCCTGGATTCCACTGCTAGCCACCATCCACCAATTGTATACTAACTAAATGCCCAGACATCGTCGAAGCATCTGCACAAGAAGCCGACATGTCAACCTGAGACCGAGCACTTCGGTCCAATCAATCGACGGGAAAATCAAAAATTCAATTTAATAGGTTCAAGAATGATTAAGTTAAGATTGAGGCTAAGGACAGGTTACGAATAGATTAAATTAATGGGGCTCTATTGGGGTTACTACGAGGTATTTTAGGGATATCCTCACCTTATGGTTACGTAACGAAAAGATTACGGTTATTGTTAGCCCTAAGCATATATAATGCTGAATAAAATTTTACTAATTCTGAAATAATTTCTAAATTCTATCGTGAGTATATTCTGGATCTGTTTCGAAGTGGATACTATGTCGGCAGAGGCTAGAACTCAATGTTGGTGATAAGGATGAATGGCACTCATTCATCACCATGTCCTTTCTCTAGATAATTTCAAAAGAAAATAGGTACCTACTCCCTTTACATATCAGCAATATTCAAGCCCCCAAAACACTTAATAGGCACAAAGGTAGCGTTACTTCGGAACGAAAAGATTTCATTCAGCACCCAGCTCTCTCTCTAAGCACAACCAGCGTTATTTTAGAACATAGTGGGTAGATAAAATCTTCATTTACCATAAAATGGCATTATCGAAAAACAGGCTAGAATAAATTTAGAATTGTTGTAAGCTTGAGGGGTTAGAAGATCTCGGTGATTACGCGCATAGAATGTGTTAAGATTACGTTGTTGATGCTTCAGTCCAAAACTGAGATTTATTTATGTCGTATGTCAGAGCATGGCACCCTGTGTAACAATTCCATTCCTTCGAACTCACTATCTCCACGAATATATGTATTTGATTCTCAAAAATCGCCTTTATTCCCAGCTAGAATACACCTCGAGGGCATTGCAGAACGTTTTCGGCTGGCTTAGGGGAGCTGTCCCATGTTTTGCGATGAGCCCTGAAAAAGTGTTAGCTGTGATTATCCGGCTGGTGCATTCAAGGTCATTTGGCCGCTGTTACATACTGGTGCGTGAAATATAACTTTGCCCAGGCGTCGACAGCAGTTAAGGTACAATTATCTTTGTCTATTTAGGTAGAGTGGCAACAAGTCAACAACTACAACCCCTATGGACATTGCTACTCACCCGCTTCAGTGAGCTTCAAGGTCATTTTCAAACAAGCCTCCTTTTACATACAATATTCAATATATTGATGGCAGCATACATATAATTGACGACTGAAATTATCCAGCATGCCCACGGTCATTCGAAGAGTTAGGCACCTGAAGGTTATTTTCGGCCATGTTTGTTTCTGCACCTCACTGCACTCGCATTAATTATGGGAACCGCCTGCATTTCTTATGCACGTATCTGCACAACATCATCAAGGTTGAGATAGTTTTTATGCTTTGAACTCACATCACCCATTCTACACTGTCCCAATCAGTGTAAACATATTTTAAATTCACTTAGACATGACCTCCTGACTTGCGATAATTCCTGCCCAACCATAAATATAGTGAAAAGACAGGGAGAAATATATTATTATTAAAACAATATTTATACATGCCTATACATTTGGTGTATCCTACATAGCTAGGAAAAAAATGTGCCTCATTATATTATCTTTACTGAATATGCTTATTAATCTTATGTGTAACTTATCGAATTGATGATGCCTGTAAACTGGCGTCCCTCATGTAAAAAATGAGAATATATATATAATTATTATCTACGTGATAGCTTAGGTTCCCACAGAAGATTCTGTTAGCATTTACAATTGATTGACACGTAATGATAGGATTCACTTTTCAAACAGCACCGTTCTTCTCACTGTAATATGCTGTATAATTATACTGAAACGTGAACTCTTCATTGAATGATACTATGCCGAAGGGCGCAGCTTTTAAATAAAGCAGACTATTTGTGTAGGTGTCATTACCCTCCAACTATCTCATCTTGCTCATTAAAGCGATATTTTGAGACAGTCCATCTGAAACACTAATCATGGAGACCATTATGGTAAGTTTGCGTCGCAGTCAGATCACATGACGCGGAAACCAACATGAATTGTCAAAAAATGAGAATTTCTAACAACCCAGATAACATATAACACAATTTTATAACAACGTTTTCACAAAAAAATTTACCGAGCGAAATTTCAACCAACGTGATATATAAGTTGAACATATATAAGTCCAGCAGGTGGGACTATTAGGAGGAACTATAGGGAGGCAGCAAACTGAGGCTTTAATACATCCCCAAGCTTCAGTGACACTAGAGCGATGCAGTTCTGAGAATAACAGTCTGTGTCACCCAAGTGTCCAGCCTAAATCCATTGAAAAAACTACAACGGGCCGGTTCTATCGG